ATTTCTTATAATATATTGTAGACTTTGTAAAGTAACATAAGTATTGTATGTATATTATAAAGTAATTACAAGACTTGTAAATCAATTGTAAAGTTTGTATAAGACATGTTAATGTATATAAAGGCTAAGTAAGTGTTATGGATGAATACAATCTATTACAAGTATTATACTAACTTTGTATAATAGCCTAAAGTATTATGCTTGCATTACATTTTTATTATAATTTTAAAGAAAGGGTGATATTTATAATATAATAATAATATTGTTGTTATTGTTGCCTTCTAATTTATGCAAAAGGTATATTAATGTATATAATAGTGTAAGAGCACTTGTTGTATCATTATTATCTTAATAAAAGTATACTATAAGTATATAATATGTATATTATACTTAGACTATCTATACAAATAGTTTACAATATTTGTAAAAGTTATTTCATCTACTTGTAATAATTACATAAGTGTGTTTAGAAAGCTATATACATGTCATATTACTTTTTACTATATTACAAAGTAGATCAATAATTTTATTTTATACCTAAATACAATAATTGAAATGTTCTATCAGTTGACGACTCATATTATAGTTGCTTATGTAATCAACTGCTGAAGATCGAGAGCATATAATGACGCATTTCTCTTCGTCACTCCTTTACCTCCTACCTTCACCATCTCCCCAACCCTCTGCCCCCAACGCTATGTTGTCGCTTCTGTTCTCTCTAGTCAAGTCCTCTGCTCACAAGCGTCCTACCAGCAGGCACTCTGCGCCTGCTACAACATAGGCAATAAACATCACTGCACTCGTCTCTCCAATCTGCCGCTGCGATGCCTGCACTGAGCCTCAGATCTTGCAATGACACGACCCAGCTGACAACACCGTCCTTCAACATAAAGCGTAAGCAGCCAGTCCACTTCACAATAACCTGCACAATAGTTGCTCATCCATCTCCTCCCAACTTTTTTGTCTTTCATCCCTCCCATCCCTCCCACTCCTTGCTCCGCCGCTTGCGTTGCCTCTCCTCCGTTGTCCTTTTTGTTTTACGCTCGCCTTCCTTTTTGCATTCGCATTCACGCATCCGCATTGTTGATCAACGCTGAACGACTTCCTCGATAATTCCATGCATTCTTCCCGCTCTGCAGCGCAAGCAGCAATCGACGAGCACACGCTCGCGACAATGTCCATGTACGACCACTCCCGAGGGGCAATCCTCTCTCAGACCCCCGCACGCACTCTCCTTCCACACCCACCATTCCATGCCTGAAAATACCCTCGAGGGACCCACGCTGCGTGCATTTACAATCCCCAGTACTGTCCATGACACCATTTCGAATAACGGAAGCAGCGGCCACTCCTCACACCTGTCCAAGTTGAGTCCGTCAACGCCTTCCACTTTGCCATCTCCCTTCGTTCCAGAACGTCCCAGAGATACGCTCTTACAATCCACGATCAGTTCACGGTACCTCCTATTGGACGCTGTTTATAGACAATAGAGCGCACGCACACAGACACGATTTCGTCTGCAGTCCGAATCAGCTCGTTCAACGCTCCGGATCTCGATCTGCATGTACCACTCACACTCGCTGCATGCTGTCACGGTGCATCCATCTTTTCTTGCTTGTTGTCACTCGCTAATCACTCTAAACCTGTCTCACAGGCGCAGCTCTCCCTTTAGGTCAGAACGCCCCGGGAATACACCCCCCAGTCAACGGTTCAGTTCACCGCACCTCCGATTGCGAGACATAGTCAGAGTATGCAGTGTGCACGTACAGATGCAGCTTCGCCTGCAGCTAAAATTAGCTCATTCAACACTCTGGATCTCAACCCCAGTGCACCACTCACACTCGCTACACGCCATCGCAGTGTATCCATCTCCTCAATCCAGTTACCTACTCATGCTGACAATGCTCACACCCACACTCTTAGCCAATCAATCTCACAACCTGTCTCACCCCTAATTGTTGTAGATTATAATGTATTTACATAATGTTTCAATATAATTATAAACTGTTATTTCAATAACAAACAGACGTTAGGAAAAATAACTATTGGAAAGATATTAAAACAATTTAAGAGCTTTATAAACAATTATAATATTTGCCATAATCAACAAGGGTGATTTAACCTTGTAATTTTAGAGATCCATTGTAATGCATTTTATATATTGCCAAGGAGAAAAGTCCTTATTTACATTTATAAAATGGACAAACCTTTCAGACTTTATAATAGATTGTAGTACTTTCTCAGAAACCAAGATCTGTTCTAAGTGTTTTTACTTTTTTTACTTTTTTCATTTATTTTATACCATTATAAGGTAATACAAGAATTTAGACTTTTTCCTGATGGATAAGCTGAAATTTACAACAGAGACACAGATGCAGAACTGGGTTTTTGCAAAGTTACATCTCCATGTAAATGAAGTACTTTGATAAATACAACATCAAATTACAGTCTGGCCTTAGAACCATTTTTTAACTGCTCAAAGATTTAGTTTGCAAAGTTGGTGAACAAGAAAGTAATCAAAGCATCTGAATATACTTTTTTGTCTGCTACATAAAGCTAGTAAGCAAAGAGCCGCTGGCTTGATAACGTTGGTACCATACTAAATATTAAAAGGTATGCATTCTTCCAGATATAGGCACCAATTTTGCATGTGCATCGGGAAAAAGTCTAAAAGGTTATATTACATTATAATGGTGTGAAAAAAGTAAAAAAGTAAAAAAAGTAATTTACAAATTATCGGACCTCGATTTCTGATAAAATAGTATAACTTTGTATAAGGTACTGTAAGGTTTATTAATGTAATAAAAGTATATAAGGGTAATACCCCTTTTAAACATATAAAATGCATAATATCGGACCTCCCTTTTTTGAAATGTATTGTAAGGATTACCAAGTTTTGAAAGGGTGATACGTGTTTGTAATGTTTTACAGAGACTATACATAGTTATTATTTCTTAATAATAATAATTTTCCCTTACATCCATTCATTATTAAAATAACAAAAATCAATTATATTAAAATATTTGTACAATACATCATTATCTATGATAATTAAGGAAAATAAACTGAAACACATACATAGTGCAGCCTGTGTCAAGATTTGTGCAGAGAGCGAGTGAGAGTGTCCGTGTCTGCTGTGATGCGAATACGAGTAGGCAGAGGTTGGGATCGGATCAGACTCGAGCGGCGAACGAGTGCATTACGGGTGTCGATTGCCAGGCTCATCCCTTGACCAGATCCAGACAGACCACCAGAAAGCGAGGGCATTGAGAGGCTCAACGGTTATGACCACGTCTGCAGTTGACCCTGTCCTTTCGATCACTCTGCATCACCCATCTCAAAATCAGCAAAGTCTGCCATTTCCACTTCGCACACACCACTGCACGTTGTGTACGAATATCCGAAGGGCAGCCATACAGCGAACTATAAGCAGAGGGCGAGTCGGATTCACTGTAGTCGTCAGAATCAGTGGTAGATGCCAATGAAGAGACACTTACAGTACTTACAGTGTATGACGAGCTGCCTCCGCCTTGTTCTTTTTCAAACAGCATTCGTGACGAAAGAGGATGGATGCGTTTTCGGATCGTTTGATGTAGTCTTCGTCACTACGTTTTAGTCGTTGCTCTGTCCCTACGAGTTGAATTACGCGTGTATGTGGGTTGTAAGATTGCACAAGTTGTAGAGGTTGCTGTTGCGCTTGTGACACAGGTTGTGAGATTGACTGGCTGAAAGTGTAAGCGTGAGTGTTGGCATTGGCATGAGTGGATAAGTGGATTGAGGTGATGGACACACTGCGACAGTGCGAAGCAAGTGTGAGTAGTGCACCGGGGTTGAGATCCGGAGCGTTGAACAAGCTGATTTCGGCTGCAGGCAAAGCCGTGTTTGTACGCGCGCGTTGCATGCTCTGACTACGTCTCACAATCAGAAGTACAGTGGGCTGAGTAATTATGGATAGCTGAAAAGGTGTATCTCTGGGAGGTTCTGGCTCAAAGAGAGAAAGTGAAGTGGAGGGTATGGACAGACTCAGCAGAGGGGTGAGTGGTTGACCACTGCTTCCGATATTCGAAACAGTGTCATGAACAGCACTGGGGAATGTAAAGGCACGTCAAGCTTGGAACAGTGGGTGGGGAAGGAGAGTGTGTACAGCGTCAAAGACAGGGTACCATAGTCGTACCTAGACATTGTTGCGAGCATACCTGTAGATTGTTGCTTGTGCTGCAAAGCAGGAAGAAGTATGCGAATGCATGGAGTTATTGAAGAAGTCGTTCAACATTGGTCAATAATGCAGATGCAGATGAAAAATGAAGGTGAGTGTAAGGAAAGAAGGACAATAACAGAGAGGCAACGCAAGCAGCAGAACGAGGAGCAGAAGGGATGGAAGGGAGACAAGAAGTTGGGAGGAGAGGGATGAGCAACTATTGTGCAGGCGATTATGAAGTGGACTGGCTGCTTACCGCTTTACGTTGAAGGACAGTGTAGTCAGCTCGGTGGCACAACATGGGATCTGAAGCTCAGTACAGGCACTGCAACAGTAGATTGGAGAGACGAGTTACAGCAGTATTTATTGTCTGTGTTGTTGCAGGCAGAGTGCCTGCTGATAGGATGCTTGCAGGCAGAGGACTGGACTGGAGAAAACAAAAGCAGTAACTTAGCGTTGAACGGGTGGCAGAGAGTTGTAGGAGATGGTGGAGGCATGAGATAAAGAAGTGACGAGGACAAATGCGTCATTATAAGCACTCGATCTTCAGCAGTCGATTATGTAATCAATGTTCGTGATAGTAGCAAAGCTGTAAAACAAATCAATTATTGTATTTAGATGTAAAATAAATGTATAAATTTACTTTATAATATAGCTAATAGTACTCTAGCATGTATATATTCTCCTAAATACAGTAATATAAATATTATAAGTAGTTGAAACCCTTATACAGATAACACAATCTGTTTTACAATGTAAATATAAGACTATTTGCAAAATTATAATCTAAGTATAATACTTTAGCTTATAATGTAAGGTTATCATAATGTATTCAATGAATTGTAATGATTCATAACACTCTTAGAGTCTTTATATACATTAATATACCTTATTTTATCCTTATAGTTGTGTTCTAACCCTTACATATGAATTACAATGTATATAAAATGCTAAGGTAAGGAAAGTATAAACTCGACATAGTATGTCACATCAGTCACAGCACAGCTACTTCCCCATTAGGAAGGACCCTGATGGCAAAAATCGAGTGGTGGACATCGACATTTTTTTTAGCACTTGTAAATACAAAAAAAAATATAGATTATGGTTTTACAGCTCAGCCAGAATACTAGCTAGAAGGATTCTATAGCTATAGTATTTCTTATTTGCCCATTGAGCCTGTGCTCCTGTCAACCCCTTTCTATATACATCCATGAACTGAGCAGACCAGTTACAATACCTACAAAACATATAATAAAATCAATTTTGTAAGAAAGAAAGATTTAAAGTACTTACTTTTGAAAGAAATCAAGAGGAATAGAATCAAGGCATGTTTGAACATGCTTTTCCATTTGAGCTTCAGTAGTAGGGGCAGGCATCATCCAGTAGTTGAATTTAGTATAACCCTAGTACTGTCTATCAATTCATCAGACTCAATTGGGACAACAGTCTTTACATCCTCTCCAAAACCTGGAGTGTTGAACTCTTCCTTGTTGTCAGTCCATAAGATTTGGCTTGAACTTGTAGCCTATTTCTTGGTAAGCTATATTGTTTATTACTCAGTCTTAAGCATATCTTACAAGTTTATCACTCCTCAGATTCTGTATTCTGGCTTTATCCCTTCCCTTTTGCTAGGGCATTATAGGCAGAACAGAGGAAAATGGGTCTAAATAGCCAATATTTACTGATCAAATGTATATTACTCATCAGGCACGTGTTCTATATAAAGAAATAATTATATAATAGATATTTAACCGAAGTGGCAAAAATCTTCGGGAAAAAATTCAAAATTTCACCAAATTGCATTTCTGTACATTTGGTACCAAAAAATAAGTTTTTTTTTTTGGAAATAACTCACTCGAATCTCAATATTTTAAAAAATCAAAAACATACTTTTGTAGGTTAGATTAAGCTGAATATATCTATGCGGCTCAAATTTGCATTTTTGGGATACTGAATGTCGTATTTCGCCATCATCGTTTGCATCCAAATTGGGTTAGTCTGTTGCATCACACTATGTCGAGTTTATACTTTCCTTACCTTAATATTTCTTTAAATGGACTGTAATTCATTATATTTAAATGGACTTTTTCCTGATGTGCATAGATAAATGTGAGCTGTGTTTCCTTCATTGGCTGACAACAAACTAGCAAAGTATCTCAGGGATATAAGAAGTGCATACACAAGTAGTGAGCTGAGTATCAACCAAACCAGATACGTGGTAGACAAGCTATGAGTGAAAGCCACAATTCCAGAAATGCCTCGTTCAATAGAGCTGGACACCACACCTGCAGGAAATACAGAAGTTCAGCAGTGATGCTGCAAAACGACCGTACTTCTAATGACGAGGGTCACTCATGGCAAGCTACCAACCTAGGTTTCGACCCGAACGAAATGATACCTTCCTTATTGAATGCAGTTAGCCAAGAGCGAGAGGAGGAAATTGGACTCTGCCTCAACAGAATAGACCAAATGCTACCACACATTAGTGATAAAGATCAGAAAAAGAAAGAGAGACTCGTGAAATTCCAGGAAGGACTCAAGGAGATCCAAAACAAGCTTCCGAAATTGGATCCCAATTGCGATGAATGTTATAAAGAACTCCAGGAAAAAAATATGAAGGTCAAACATATAGTAAACGTCGTTGGTGAATTTTATACAGACCATTGGCGTGCACAACATCCAGACGAAGTACGACCAAAGCACTCTGCCAAGTAGTTATAAATACATATTCGAGACGGCGAGTTTCCGAAGCACCTTATGACTTTAAAGCTAAAAACAAATTAATCATATCGTTTTGCAAACCCGAAGCGTCTCACATAGAACAAAGCTAGGTACCCCTTCAAATTACGCCTTTCTCTTTCACGACATCGTGGACTACTTTTCTCACCAGCGCTTTGAGCCCAACGTTGCCACCCTCTCCGCCCAAGGCGACAATCACGCTTTTCTCCACATACTTTCCAACCATGTCTACCTCAATATTGACCTTATCACCTATTTGTTTCGTGCCCAGCGTGATCCGCTCCTGCGTGTGCTTGATTAACATCACTTCGAATGAGTGAGAAACATCATCAACATGAGTGATTGTCAGAGATGCACCGTCTATCGCGACGTATCCTTTGGGGACTAGATATTGCTGGATCGATGGCACAGAGGCCGTTGGAGACGCAAGCTGAAAAACCAGGCGGACAGAATCACCGTCCGCTGTCCGAGAGATGATGGTAGCAGTCGTATCAACATGTGCTTGTACGAAATGCCCGCCAAAGCGTACATGCGCAGCCATCGCACGCTCGAGATTAAGAGGATCCCCAACCTTCCTGTCTCCTATTCCGCAAAGTATGCACCGTAAATCAAATTTCTGTTTGTAGTGCAAAGTGACAACCTCTTACCGAGATCTGTCCGGCTTAGCGTTTCATTCGCAAGCCAGACCTCAAACCAGCCTCCCTCTTTATCCTCTGAAGCGTCAAATGCCGTGACAGTGAGACAGGCTCCATTTACTGCAATGGAGTCACCAATGTGGCAGTCGCCCAACACGGGAGCAGCATTATGGATAGTCAGTGTGCATCCACCTTCGTCCCTGACGATACGTGAAATGTGACCGAGATGTTCGATCTAGGAGCAACGTATAGCTAGAGCCCAATATGCTGCAGTCGCAGACAGTGGAACTACACGAACCAGTCCAGTGAACATAATACGCAAAGGAAAGATGCTGAGTGAGTGAGACCGGAAATCCTCCAAAAAAAGCCCCGGAATATTGTTTTTAAGAAAAGCCTCGCTTTAAACAATAAGATGAGACATAGAGATCAAAATGTTGAGAAAGGCTTTGACTTTGAACTTTCGAAACGAAACTTGTTGTTAAGAACATATCACGTGATATTTTACATATAAGGCATATGTTTGACTAATCCAACGGGCGTCACAGTTTCGTCACGCGGACCTCCCAAAGAGCCACGCTCATCCGCTCAGCGTTCAACTACACTTAGCTTACTACACCGACGACGTCGAAGCGCGCAACTTTCGCTGCTGATCAAAACGCGCATTCCGCATCACCCTATACTGTTCTCCTACTTTTACGGCCGGTTTCATCGAAGCGGAGTTAGGAACGACCGCATTTGAACCCAGTTCTGTCCGCGTCTTATGCAGCGTGAACATGTTCGCAAAGGTTTCTCAATATAAGTACCCATTTACTCGCTAGATTCCGCGACTTTCTGATCTCTGCTTGATATCTACTAGTCAGCAGAATGTCGTATTGGAGATCGACTTCTCTGGATTATTCTTCGTGCGTCGTGTTCTCTACGTGTTATGTCGTCTGTCTTAATTATTATGCTCTGATTAGGGGTATACCGAATTGACGATCGTACCCACGAGCAAGGATTTGAAAACGATATATCTGCACTCGCGACAATGCAGTATGTTGTGACGCTATCTCAGAGGCTTGTTCGAGACTCATCGACTTGACACTTTAGCCATAACTTCTATACAAGTTGGTGGATACAATGTGCAAGATTGGATCTATCATGACCCGCTTTCGAACGTTGTTATGTCGGATATTACCGACTGTCACCGACATCCGGAGGTCAAACGAAAGATGTATTCATCGCTTGCGGAGTGCGACGAAGGAGAGCTTGCTATTCCGATTCCGAGGCAGGTACCAATAAGAAGTTCCGGACAGGTGGCGGGCATGCTGAACGGCGATAGTACGTCGTGGCTTTGATGTGCGCTTGTTCTTTCTGACCATTTTTAAGCTGGGATGCTAGGGCCACAGTCTCCAGCCCATGCCATCCCTCTGACTCAGCAAGCCTCATCAGAGTTTGCACCTATTCAAGTTCGCATCAGCTACTGTTTGAAAAATCCCGTTGAAGGGATTCAATTCATTTTGCCTAGTGATGCGTATCCTTATGTGAGTGTCTCAGTAAATGAATAACTTCTTTCTCCCGCCTAACGCCTGGCTCAGCGTGTCCCGCACATGTATACGACCTCTTCATCGCCTGACGCAGCGAGGTGCTGGATTCCCTGCCTCGATAGTCTTTGGGAAAGGTGTATATGGGATTTCAAGTTTATTGTACCAAAGACACTGGAAGGCACAACGGATGACATGGACGTGGATAATGACGACCTGAATGTTACTCCAACAGTCGTTGTCTGTAGCGGAAATTTGAAATCAAAGGCACGTGAAACGGTTGTCTATCACTCGCATTTTGCTAATCTTTCCATAGCTCGCCCATCCGAATAATGCCAATAAAGTGATATATCACTTTAAACAGGATGTCCCAACTTCCGTTCAGCACGTTGCTTTCGCTGCAGGGCCTTTCTGTCACCATCAGATACAGCTTGGACAAGAACAACGGAGTGGCCATGCTGAAGAAACTGTCAATTCTCAGATTCGTGTAGATACGTTCTGCCTACCTGGGTACGAATCTTCCCTGTCCAATATGGCGTCATTCGTGCGGTCAAGCTTGAATTCCTACATCACTGATTGTGGATCATATCCCTTTGGCTCGTACACATTACTATTCGTGGATGAGCTATTGTCGCAGCGAGTTGATAGTGCATCCTTGACGATCGTTTCGTCTGATTTACTTCACGGGGACGACGCCATAGATCAAGTCTACGAATCACGTCAGGTTCTCTTGCATGGCCTTGCCTGTCAGTGGGTAGGAATTAGCATTATTCCGAAGACTTGGTCGGACCTATGGCTTGTGAATGGGTTGGGCCTCTATATTGCAGGCCTTTGCTTTAAGAAGCATATGGGTAACAACGAATACCGGTTTCGCCTGAAGAAGGACGTAGAGCGAGTATTGGAACTTGATAATGGAACTATGCCTCCAATCTGTCAACCAGGAAGTATGGAGCCTCCTGATGCATCGACACTTGCTTTCATCAATTTGAAAGCCCCTCTTGTGCTACATATCCTCGATAGACGCCTTGGAAAATCCGGAACATCTCTTGGCCTGTCCCGCGTCTTGCCAAAGATTTTCCTTTCGGCTACCGCTGGCGATATGGCACAGAATTGTTTATCAACGCATTTCTTTTTGCGGACATGTAGGAAGGTCAGCGGCGTTGACTTGCGTTCGTTCGTTGATCAGTGGATACACGGCAGTGGATGCCCTCAGTTTAGCTTCCTTGCTACGTTCAATCGGAAGAAGATGGCTGTCGAGATTCAGATGCGCCAAGAGTGTCCGGCGTACGCAATTCATCAGAACGACCCGATATCGAACTCGTTACTGAAGCCAGTTCCATTCTTTGAGGGCCAGATGACCGTTCGGATCCACGAAGCTGACGGAACGCCTTATGAACACGTGCTCGACATCCTTTCGCCGATCAAGCGCTTTGAAGTGCCATTCAATACAAAATACAAACGGGTGAGGCGAAATACCAAACGGTATCTTGCACGTCAGGCAGCGGCGCAAGCGGCTGCGGAAGGTGATACTGAGGCTGCTGAGGCCATGGGGATGGTCGACATGAGCTTTGGCCTGGAAATTTGGGAGAATGAGGAGGAGCGCGAGAAATGGAAGGTAACAGACTGGACAGAGGAAGAAGAGCAGGCAATGGCAGGCGCTACGTATGAATGGATCAGGATGGATGCAGATTTTGAGTGGATCGCACGAATACAGTTTGAACAACCGGATTATATGTGGGTTTCCCAGCTTCAAAGAGACCGAGATGTAGTTGCACAGGTGGAGGTGAGTATCTAAACGTGGGATTTCGCTACCTGAACTCATTTGTAATTCAAAAAGGCTGTACATGCACTAGCTCGGCAGCCGACCCCTATCGTATCTAGTACATTAACGAAAACGGTCCTGGTGACGAACTACTTCTTCCGCGTTAGGTGTGAAGCAGCTTTGGCGCTTGTCAATGTACGCTGCTACATTTTTTTCCCTTTTGTATGACTAATTTCATTGTGTTTTAGTGCGCTTCTCGTAGGCTCGACTTCGTTGGGTTGTTCCACTTATTCAAACTATTTCTGCGATACTGCTACGAGCCTGAGGACTCTAGCCAAGATTTGTTTTCCCACAAATTCGTTCCTCGCCCTAACGATTTTTCCGATGTTGCGGAGTATTTCGTTAGAAAGGTATATCTTGAACTTGCAAAAACAATATCAGTTATATAACACGTTCTAGGCTCTCGTCAATGCTATTTCTCAAGTGCGATTTGAGAACGGCAAGACTCCACCTGAAATTCGACAATTTTTTATTGACCAGCTCCGATACAACGACAATACCACTAATGCTGTATGTGAACACCCATGTTAATGACGTCGTATCGACCTGATTATATTTTTCTGCACTAGTATTCTGATGCATACTACATTGCCTCCCTCATAACTGCGCTGGCTTGTGCAACCATCTCAACAGCTCCTCCTGAGCGAGGAGAGCTCACCATGTCCGTACCAAAGAACGATATAACCGGAGAGGATCATCAATTACTGCAAGCCGCTATTACAGAAGTTGACCGGTATCGAAGCATGGACCGACTCATTCCATCGGTGCACAATGTAGTCACTATCGCTTCGCTTGAAGTGAGTAATTCTCTAAATGTCTTTATGTATTTCTTACGATTTTCGGGTAGTTCCACATCATGCTTGCTATGGCAAATCTCATTCCGAGCGATCCGAAAATTTTCCTACTCTGCACTCGGGAGGGTAATGCGACTCAAGTTCGCCTTGCCGGTTTTGATGGATTGTTCCTTACGAAGTGGTATACACCGAAGATCATGACTTATATCTTTGCGGTCATTGCAAATGATTCATCGCGAGCAGTTCGACGACAAGTTGCCCGTAATATGTGCGAGAGTTTGGCCTTACTTGCGTCAATTGGCGAGATCAAAGCTCCTGCAAAAGAGACAGAGTCTCTTCTTATTGAGGAAGACGGCACTGCGCCAGATAAAGCGAAGGAGAGCAAGAAATCAGAGGTGGACCTTATGATTCGCGCTCTGCGAAAAGATAGGGAAGTTGGAAAGAGCGACATATTGCGAACATGTGTCATGCCCGTTATACTGTGAGTACATTTCCATTGAGCGTTGTTTTGCATCTGAACATAGGCTGAAAATTATGACCAGCGACCCGCAAGCTGATCTCGATGTGCGACTTTGTATGCTCAAGCTCGCAGATTTAGTTGTCCGAGGGGCAGATGAACCTCTACCGAAGAATACCATCCATCTACCTCCGACTCCAGTTACTGAATCTCCCCCTGTCGTTCCGATGCAGACTCCGAGCAGTATCAAGATTGCTCCTAAAGTCTCAAAGCCTCAGATAAAGATTGGGCAGCGGAAACAGAGTTTGGCCACGCCATCTACGCCAACTCCATCTACGTCCCATGCTCCTTCGAAGTTGCGCTTGGCACCGTCTGGTTCTACTATGCCTCCCGCCTCTGTCGATACGGAGAATATCGCACCAGCTGCAGAATCAAGGTTCAAAGAGCCGCTTCCCCCGCTTCTACCATCCAAAGCAGCTCCAGGTTCGAAGAAGAAAGACAAGCCTATCCCGAAGTCTCAATCTGGTGGAATGAGCATACAGGATGTTAAAGCTTGTCAAGCTGCATTAAAGCGGCTTAACACCTGTAAAGCCGCATTTCTCTTCTTGCAGCCTGTCGATCCTATTCGAGACAAAGCCCCTGAGTACGTTGATCCTAATTTTACTAGCAAAATGCCTGTTTACACTTTTTCCAGTTACTTCGATGTCATTAAAAATCCAATGGACCTACAGACAATGGGCCACAAGTTGCAGAATGGGATGTACAAAAATCGACAGGATCTTGAGTCAGACTTTCGGTTGATGATCCGGAATTGCCGTACATATAACCCGCAGGGGTCATATGCTTACAATGAGTCTGTTGCTCTTGAGACTTTCTTTGATAAAGGTATGTTGCGATCGCAAGTTAATGCCATGGCTCGCACCTAACTCATCTTCAACATTTTAGTCTGGACAAAGATAAATGCTACTGTGACGTCAGCAGAAAAGGCTGCTCCTAAGTTCGAAGCTGCTGCGAAGCCCTCGATACCTCCAGCTCCCGCGCCTGTTGAAGATACGAATGTTATAGCCCCAGAGCCCACTTCATCTGCACCTAAGTTGAAACTGAAGCTTGGTCCAAGCCAACCAGCGGCGAACACAGAGGCTTCCAAAGCGGGACCGCTTAAGGCTAAGCACCCTCCGAAGCCTCGTAAACCAAAGACGGTTGAAAAGGCGACTGACATGCCTCCGCCCCCATACATTGATGACGGGTCTCACGATCTACTACAAGAAGTCATTGCGATGGAGGAACTTGAAAAATCACCAACCAAATCGTCGAGTCTGAAATCGCGTAAAGTCGTCGAATTGGATGCAGATGAAGAGCTTCTGCGACTTGCAAGCCCCGAACCAAAGGTTGTACCCGAGCACTCGAGTGTGGTCGAGAAGCATCATTCTCCAGCGGCACATTCAACCCACTTGCCCATATCCTCACCGAAACCTGCCCCGACTCCAGTAAAGCCAAAGAAACTGACGGAGAGACCCGTGCAGCCTTCCAAATCTGTCAAGGGAAAAGAGAAGGAGGCAGATATGGTTCCTCCCGCACCTTCTTCGCAAGCCTCTTCAGTAGCTCCTTACAGGCCGAAAAAATCTCGTTCTGCGACGCCCATGGCAACGACGAGTACCACGGTACCGATCAACGAAGCCAAATGCCGCGATCTTTTGAGGATTCTCGTAGGTTTACCTCAGTCATTCTTCTTCAGGGAACCTGTGGACCCAATACGAGACGGCTGCCCAACGTTAGTTTCTTTCATTGTATCATAATATTCTTCTATTCACCTTTACACTAATAGTTATTATGACGAAATCAAGAATCCCATGGACTTCGCAACGATTAGCGGTCGCCTCAAAAAGGGTCATTACTCTACTATGGAAGAATTCGGTAGCGATATCGAACTCATATTCGCGAATTGCCGCCAATTTAATCCACCAGGCACGCTCCCTGTGATAAATGCAGAGTCTGTCGAAAAGGTGTTTAGGAGAGAATGGCCGAAAGCTGTGGAGAAAAGGCTATCTTTCAAGGAGAAGCGGGGTCTCATGAGCGCTATGACGAAGCTCATGAACGATGTCGCGTAAGATACACTTTCCCCTTATTCCTCTTTTCCCCGCTGTTATTCATGGTCTTTCACAGGTGGTTTGCCTTTTGGGAACCCGTCGACCCCGTTGCACTGCAGATTCCGGACTATCACGATGTCATTCCGAAACGTGATGCGAGGGACCTTCGAACAATTCGTAGCAAGCTTGAGACGGACAAGTACGATTCGATTGAAGCCTGGGAAGCGGACATGAATCTGATGGTTGATAATGCAATCAAATTCAACGGGCTCGAGAGTGAAGTGGGTCAGACTGCCGTTCGCATGAGGGATAAGATTCGCGAAGAGTCAGCACGAGTGCGGACTCAGAAGAAGCGTCCTGCGACGGGTGATCTACGAGAAAATTCAGATCAGGGTAACGCGAAGAAAGCGAAGCTGAGCTAGAGTGATCTGGCGTTCGCTGTTTTGGCATATTCTGTGCCGTTTACTATTGTCCTACTACTCCGTTGTAATATCTTACACTGCAACGTTCTATTTCCTCTTCGTTATTCATTCTTTACTTTGTGCTTGTGACTTGCATTGCTTTCCAGTTGGACTTCACCGTAATTATAGGTAGATGTATCAAATGCTTTACTTCGCTTTCTGTATTACTTTACGTCAATCGTATATCTTATCCTGTGCAGGTGGGACTTGGCTAGTTTCGATGCTTCCTTGTTTCAGCGAACCAGACGAGGAGTTGCCTGAAGCATTGAAAGAATAAAGTCACTACTACTAAGTATGCAAATATATACATGTTGCCAACCGTGAACCCCAATCGGGAAAACCAGGTCCAGGAAATGCAAGTTTTGTCACTGGTCCCAACAGAATGGGAAAGTGAGAGAAAAGAAGAAGAGATCCACGGCCGAGCTTGAGAGATACATCATACCCTTGGTGGATGTCATTCAATGATGGTGTTGACCTGCTATCAACCGTATAAATTTTGAAACCTGTGTATGAAGCTAGTATAATGAGGTTCAAACTTGTACTCGTGCCAGATCATATTATGTGCCTTGCACAACAATGTAGAGGAAAGTATCGATCGATGTTGTACCACTGTCTATTAGTATCAGAATAAAACAATATCAGCAATACACCAAATTTCAAATGTTATGACTAGTGGGACCAGAAATAGCCACGTAACTGAAGGGAACAAGCTATGAAGAGCTTTCATACAGATGACAGCAGTCCTGAATAATTCCCCCCTTCCCTGTATCTTACAATTTGTCGTACACTTGAACATGCAGAGCGCTTGAGACGAAAAAGCGATGAATTGTATTGCCCGAAGGATGCTTGAGATACACCAAGAGAACGAGAACGCGATACTGCTATGCCCAGGCTTGGACGTCTGCTTCGCTAGGTCCCGTCGGGTCGTCCGATGCAGCGAGATTGCACTGATGGAATGCCCGAACTTGGTCAGGCATAAAAGCACCAACAGCAGTATGAAGGAGGCCTCGGTTGTGGAATAGAATAAGGTCTTTGGGTCTCCTATCCATCGACGAATGTGACTCAGTCACGGCACCGAATCATATCGCTGACACTGGAAACAAAGTACTTACCAATCATGTGGGTATACAAGTGAAGGCGAGATTGCAGGTCGCTGCATTTTGTAGAGAAGGTCGCGTACTTCCTTCAAGTCTTTCAAATGTGCTCCGTCTGGAAATAGAGCTCCTTCTCTCTTCACACCTTCTGGTAATGGATCTATGAGCAGCTCCTGCGCAGCGCAGGGATGGACTTGAAAATGAAGGTTTCCCGTAACTGGATTCTTCCACAGCTATAATACAGATTACTGAACAACTTGATAAGATACATTGGAATAATAGGGACAAACCATCGGAAGAACCTTGATTTTGCTCTCTTCCCATGGAGGAAGTTGGTCTAAAGGTAATTCACGGCCCTCCGTTTCCATCCCAAGACCCGTTGAAATTGCGCGTGCAGGACCCATCCACACGAAAGGATGAGGTGCATAGCGGATGCGTCCACGTACAGCAACGCTCTTCAGCTCCGGAGGCAGGATATCAAACATCGTCTTCCCATCCACGAAGGCAGTCGTACCAAGTGGAACTGGGAGTTCGTCTCCTGTTCCATCGTCGTACCGAACGATCTGTTTGTCGCCCTGAGGGACCTTGATTGCATATAACGCCGTGGCCTTCGGTGGAGATAGATCATACACCGCTGCATCTATATGCCAACGATTAAACCTCGTATAGCCTTTCTTCTCGTCCTCAGGGGAGATGCGTGTCTTGTGGAATGTGGTGTGCGAAGGGTGCTTTAGCGTTACGTCAGAAAACCCTTCATGATCGTAAACTGTGCCGTTCCCGATGAGCTGGACCTGTGGTACGCGCGGAATTGTCTTGAGAATCGGATTAAGAATGGACTTCTTCTCGGAGTCTGTCTTGTTGTTGCCGTGACCGTAGCTATCGCAAGTAGGGTCAAATGCCTGGGTGCGAGCGAAAGTTATGTTAGTCGAATGTATGCACGTCGATGTGTATAGTATACCTTGATGAGAGCATATTGTTGCTCTGGTGTAAGATCTGTATTGCGGAAGAGCAGAGCACTGTGCTTGTTGTGAATACTATCTCAGTAGGACGCCTCGTTTAGTTAATGTGCAAGACACACCTTGTACACAAGGTCCGAGATCTCCTCGAACTGTTCGTGTGTGAGTTGACTAGGATTGACACCCTTGACTTCTCTTCCAAAGTCAGGGTTGAACTTGGTACGGTCCACGGAGGCAGGTAGTGGAAGAGGAGCAATCTCAACGGCCATGGTAAAGACTATCAATGAGGAGGAAGAAGAGAAAGTCGGGCGGAGTGCGATAAGTAACAGCAATGCTGATTGAGTATATGTGCCTTCTTATAGCCGCCCGGTATTGGCCCGGTCCGGCAACCCGCCAGAAGGTTCAAAGTTTCCTTCTTGTGGTCTTATGCTTACTCCTGTGTGCTACATGATCGAGTTATGTTATGAAGTTCCGTGGACTAATCTTCCCTGTATTTCATCGCGAAATAGTCGGAGCGTAGCACGTACACTTGATCCCGTCTAATGGGTTGTATACTAGTGAACGTTCGCTCACCGTAACCACCGAGAAAAATGGGTCATTCCAGATTTTTTTTAATCAGCAAGACAAACAATTGAACTGAAAACGGAGTTCAAGTAAATTTAGATATCAACGCACGCATCGCGATTTACAGTTCGTGGTAATCCAGGCATCAACCATTGTCCCGTGTAACAACTCGAAGGCTTCTTTACTTTCATGCTTTTCTTCATCGGAGAGTCATGTGCGGCTGTGTGCTCATTGTTTTACTTACTAGTGTATGCGGCAGAATACATGGAAGAGAATCTGCTAGGTCTGCCTGGTGAGTGAGGTTGGAGACGAGCTGAAGGAGGGTCGCGTCTTGCACGGTGCACGTGGCCCAGACTCCAAGTGTTGCATATCAAATTGGGTTCTACCTTCATGTTTACTTTCAGCTCTGAAAGTAATTCGAATATATTACATTGATTGAATTTTAGTACAAATATTGAACATGCTACAGTCCCGAATACTCTGTCTTCATCCCATCATCCTTACAAATCGTACAAATGCAAATACAAAACATCTTGAGACAAACAACAATACAGTGGCAAGCTGATAGATGCTTGAGAGCAACATCACGCCCAAAATTTAACGTCTTCTTCGTTAGGCCCCGTCGGGTCGTCCGATGCGGCTAGATTGCACTGATGGAAAGCTCGAACTTGGTCATCCGTAAAAGCACCAACGACGGTATGGAGGAGACCTCGATTGTGGAACAGTACAAGGTCATTTGGTTGCCTGTATACCAATGTGTATACATTTAATTGCAGTTTCAGGTATTCAAAAGACAGACTACTCACCAGTCATGCGGGTAGACGAGTGAAGGTGTAATTGCAGGTCGCTGCATCCTGTAAAGAAGGTCACGCACGTCCTTCAAGTCTTTCAAGTGTGCACCATTTGGATATAAGGCTCCTTCCCTCTTTGCACCTTCAGGCAATGGATCAATTAGTATCTCGTGCGCACCACATGGGTGGACTTCGAAATGTAGGTTCCTGGTAACTGGGTTCTTCCACAGCTTTGGTACATACATACGAATAAGCGAGTTGAAAAGGTATACTCAGATCATAGACGCACCATCGGAAAAATCTTGACTTTGCTCTCTTCCCATGGTGGGAGTTCATCTAAAGGTAACTCACGACCCTCCGTCTCAACTCCAAGACCCGTCGAAATTGCTCGCGCAGGAGCCATCCACACGTAAGGATGAGGGGCATATCGAACGCGTCCACGTACAGCAACGCTCTTCATTTCGGGAGGAAGGATATCAAATATCGTCTTTCCATCTACAAACGCAGTCGTACCAAGTGGAACAGGAAGTTCATCTCCCGTTCCATCGTCATACCGAACTGTTTGTTGATCGCCTGCAGGGACCTTGACTGCGTATAGCGTTGTCACTTTTGGAGGAGACAGATCATACAACGCCGCATCGATATGCCAACGGTAAAATCGTGTATAGCCTTTCTTCTCATCATCGGGCGAGACGCGGGATTTGTGAAATGTGGTGTGTGAAGGGTGTTTTAGCATTGCCTCAGCGAGGCCCTCGTGATTATACACTGTGCCATTCCCGATGAGCTGCACCTGTGGCACGCGAGGGATTGTTTTAAGATCCGGGTGGAGAATCGATTTCTTCTCGGAGCCGGTTTTGTTGTTGCCGTGACCGTAGCTCTCGCAAGTAGGGTCGAATGCCTGAGGGCGAACGAAAGGTACGTCATTGTACGTGCGCGAATGTATGCAGCATACATACCTTTGTCAGAGCATACTGTTGCTCTGGAGTAAGGTCTACATCGCGGAAGAGTAAAGCACCGTGCTTGTTGTGAATACTATTTTAGCAGAATACCTTGTGAAGAGTATATGCAAGTCGCACCTTGTACAAGAGGTCCGAGATCTCCTTAAACTGCTGGTCCGTGAGTTGACCAGGATTAACACCCTTGACTTCCCTTCCAAAGTCAGGGCTGAACCTCTTAGGGTCTACAGAATCTGGCAATGGCAGAGGATCGATCTCAATGGCCATGGTGGCAGAGCAACAAGAGGAGTTGGACTGAGTGAGATAAGTGTAAGAGGTAATAGATGCGCGTATGTGCTTGGCTTATATACATCGGGTCCGGCTAACCGGCTCATGGTCCATATTCAGACACAGTATTCCTCCGTGCAGTCGCGGACATCATTCTGCGTGCTGCATGACCGATATACGCCATAAAAGCAAATAAAACGGGGATTTTGTGAATAAGGTAATAGCGTCCAGCCTGTCGCTATGTAAGAACCTGACTATAGCTATAGCCGAGTGCGCCGATCACTGACCTGGCAGTTCAGACGTGAGCGCGTCTTCCTTCCTGTGTTCCACGTCGCCATCCAGAAGACCACCATGGCCAACGCCAACGTTAGAGAACGTCGGAAAGGACAAGCCGACCTAGATGACATCCAAGATCGCCCAAAAGCTTCCCCTTCAAAGAAGCAGAAAAACGCGTCTGGTACGCGAAACACAGTCACTAACACCAACAATAAGAAGAGTACTAGAGGCGGGGTCAGATCTCTTCTGTTGTACTTGCTACTGTTCGTGTTGTCTACAGGAGCAGCTTTCTACGTACGTTTCAAAATTCCCTAATAGTGAGTGTGCTTTCGACTGATGAAGGGTTTAGCTTCGAGACTTTCTGAAAGTTCTCCTTGAGCCGTGGTATGACTTCGCAGATTCAAAACTCCATGGCATTATCTCGCCTGAGCCAGATCCTATGGTTGCCGACGTCGCAAAGCGTACAGCTATCGTAGACGCCTTCAAGGTCTGTTATGCCCACTATGATTTAGCCTGCTTCCATGACTCAGTTTCGTTTGATTAGCATGCATGGCACGCCTACGGTAGGCTTTCCAGGAATACTTGATAGTCAATCACTAATGTTTGATATTTGCTTCACTCACAGAGCGCGATGCAATGGGCGCAGACGAATACCATCCTATTAGCCATCAAGGCAGCAATCTCAGCTCCGCAGGCGGAATTGGGTACACCGTCGTAGACGCGTTGGACACGATGATGATGATGGGTCTCGATGATGAAGTCGCGCGGTCGCGCAAATGGGTTGATGAGAAACTCGACTTTGAGAAGAATGGGTCATTCTCTATGTTCGAGGTAAGCATAGAATAACGGCAATACGACTTCGAGTTAGAATTGATAATTTGTGATTGAAGACGACGATTCGCGTTCTCGGCGGTCTTCTCTCCGCGTACCACCTCTCTGACGGAGACAAACTGTACCTGGACAAGGCCGTAGACCTAGCGGACCGAATGCTCCCTGCGTTCAATACACCTTCAGGTCTCCCACTCTCAAGCGTCAACCTTGCGGAACGCGTTGGTGTTCCCGATCGTGACAATTACGGCTGGGTTAGCACTGCGGAAGTTGCGACTATTCAGCTGGAGCTACGTTACCTTAGTACATTGACTGACAATGACACGTATTGGAGGGCAGCTGAGAAGGTAAGTAGGCCAAGTGTAGTGTTTCGCGCTCGTGAAATCAACTGACTTGTTTACATGTACAGGTTATGTCTCTGATTAAACAAAATAATTTGTCGCCGCACCTGGCGACTATCTTTATGGAGTGAGTAATTAGTAAAGAGAAATCAAGAACGTGCATTTCTGACCGTTTCTTTTTCAGCCCGGCGACTGGCGCTTTCATCCCCTTCGATATCCGACTAGGTTCTCGGGGAGACTCCTACTACGAATACCTTCTGTAAGTCTTGTTCTACTCCTATCGCGCTATGAAATAATAATTAGCCTTTAGAAAACAATATTTACAGACGGTGCGTTATTCCGTAAAAATGACAGCGTAAGTCTGAGTTTTCTGTGATCTTATTTAGGATAGGACCGAGGAAGTCTACAAAAACGTAAGGTTTCAACAAGCGAATTAAAATGCTAACGGACTTACGGATCGATTGTGTAGATGTACCTGGAAAGCATGGGTGCCGTCACTAAGCATCTCGTGCAAAGGAGCAAGTTTACCGGGATCACCTATACTGCGGAACTCATTCCCGAGCGGCAACAGGGTGGAGAGACGTCAGTCATAAAGCTTTTACTTATTAATCGAAGTCTGAAATTCTTTTAATTTTTCAGATTCTGGCGACTCGTACCAAAGCAAGACCACCTCGTATGTTTCCTGGGAGGCTCGATGATGCTCGGGGCAGCAACAGCAGGAGCCATGACAGACGAGATATCAATCCCACCTCATCCCTCGCAGCTTACACCCGAAGCGAAACGTGATTGGAGGATAGGTGTTGAACTTATTCGGACGTGTATGGTGACGCATAAGACGAAGACGTCAGTCCTCCTTCCTTTTCTTCTCTATCTTTTATTATGAGTATGAGGCTGATGAGTGGTGGTGGTATAGAGGCTTGGCACCTGAGATTGCGCATTTCCGAGTACCGGGTGATAAGATTGACTCTTCGTTGAAAGACGCTCCGGTAGACTGGTATATTAAAGGTGCCAAGTGAGTGATTAAATTTACGCTGGAAGCTTATTTGCTACGCGGACTGATGTTGTTATTAGACCTGGTGCTCCGCCTCCGCTTGACGCACGTTATATACTCCGGTATGTCCATTTTTCCCTTTCGAATCATCTTTCTCAGTTCTGACATGTTTCTTTATGTGAACTTGCAGACCTGAGACCGTTGAATCTCTCTTCATCGCATATCGCCTGACTGGAGACAGCAAATACCGCGAATACGGCTGGAGGATCTTCCAAGCGATCGAGAAGCACTGTAAGGTCGAGTCGGGTGGGTACGCAGCAGTGCTTAACGTAGACGAGTTACCGGTGACGCATGAAGATAAAATGGAGACGTTCTTGCTGGTGCGTTGCGGTCACAATTTACTTCAGTAATCGGTCGAATCCAGACTGACTTGAAATTAAAAGAGCGAGACGCTTAAATATCTGTACCTGCTCTTCTCAGATGCAGATGATATGCCGTTATCAAGTACGTTTTCTCCTTCTAGCTACTTACAAATGTGTGCTAAAACAAGCTATCTTTTTATATAGAATACGTATTCAACACCGAGGTGCGTTCGACGTTCTTCCTTCCTCTTTGTACTCTTGTTAATTATATATATCTTTATCGTTCTTTATCCAGGCGCATCCGTTCCCGATTTTTACGCCATCCATCCGGACAGGGTTCTCTTAATTAGATGAGAGAGGATTACTAGGACGAGATTGGATGTACATATCTACGCGAAATCTTCTAGGCATAATGATAATTATATGTTTATTTGGATTTTTTTCTTGGCTTAAGTCTTGGATGGATGAGGAGTCTGGACTCTGGACGCGGTGTCGATCCTATGATTAGTATCTGATCGGCTATTTGTGGATGATGCATGTCTATTTTTGAGTAGACTAGTGACACGGCTGCCGTGGAGTGCCTGTCCGAATAACAGCAGTTGCAGCATGCCTTGTCACTAACCTCCATCGTCTGTGTTCCCCCTGTCTACTATCGATCCATCGACTATACCCGTTCCAGTGAGCGCTGCATATTTTCGTTGAAGGCATCAAAGAGTCTTTCTGGATCGATCATAAAACGGCAACACGCGGTGTCGTGGGCACAGCTGTTCATCGCGTAGCCAGCCCCGCCGCTCATCAAACCCTCTCTCTCTCATATACCTTATTTAACTCCACGTTCGCTGTCGTCTTTTCGCTTTTTCGCTTTTGCTCTTTCACTACATACTCCCTTCCTCACTCTTTTGATTCGATTCGATTTTTGATTTTTGCGTGTTGGAGAGAACGAGACTACGATGGTTCGCGAGAACAGCTTCAGCGACTCGGATGGTCGTTCACTTACACCGGACCTTTCGGAAGAGGAGGATAATGGCTTTGTTGCGCCTTCGTCGCCTACTGCAGAGCACACAACCAATCCCTCCGCCAATAACAATAACAATGGTTCTCGGACCCGAGTAGACACCTTCCCTTCGACGAACGTCCAACCCACAACGTCAGGCATCGCTTCAGACCCTGGGCCGGCGATAACGAAAAGCGGTCTCCCACCTTCTACCTCGCCAAGCGTGCTCTTCAAAGAACCAGAAAGCATAAACTACGATGCTCGATCAAAACTTACGCACTCTTCGTCTGCACCTCCCGGACCAATTCGAAGCAACACCACAACAAGCAAACCCGCACGCGACTGGACACCCGCAGACCGGTTCCGCGCAGCCGTACAAAAAGTCATCCGTATGCATCGCGGATCCACCGCTTTGTCCTTAGGCGGGGCAGGTGCCGAACCAGGTATCGACCCGCGTCGTGCATCCGCATATCTCAACTACGGTCACATTCGCCAGAAATGTACGATCGAGCTTGTTGATTACAGTTCCGTGAGAGCGAGTTTTGGGAAGATGGAGAATAGAGGGTTTACAGAGTTTTTGATGGATCCGAGGGCGAGTGCGAGGGAGTCGTGGGTTAAGGTACGGTGGATTAATGTTGGAGGTGTGAGTTGGGATGTTATTAGTTCGCTGGCGATTAAGTATGGTATGTGTTCTCTGTTGCAGCGATCTGAGGTAAATTGTAACAATTGCCTTGGAAATGTAGATATCCATCCCCTTGCGCTCGAAGACGTATTACACATGCGCGGCACTCAAGCACGTTCCAAAGCCGATTACTACCTAAAACATCTCTTCATTCGTATCCTACGACACACACCCGCTCTCGATGATGAAGAAGATGATAAGAACGCACGTGAGACGATTGCACCACCGACTATTACGCGTTTACCGCGATCATCCAGCCCGGACATGATGAGTAAACATGGTGATAGCTATGAAAGTGATAGTGGTGAGTGGAGCGAGGACGTTACGCTTGCCGGGTCGAAGTCCTTGCCGAAACGCGTTGGGTCGATGAGGAAGGCGCATGCGGTGGTGGATATTGAGCAAGGGAAACATGAACCTGCGCGGGGACGGACTATGAGCTCGCTGACAGTGAGTTCAACAATTAGGCTCGATTGATGCCAACCTATTTTTTTCTGACGTGTTCCTTCCCACTAGCGTCGGAGACGTGTTGCGGAGACTATGACGATCGAACAGCTGAAGCGGGGTGAACGCGTCAACGTCGATGTTATCCCGTTCTTCATTTTCTTGTTCCGCGATGGTATGGCACTTCGGATACTTCCGTTTGACTTTTGCTAAGCATACCGATTCGTATAGGCACGGTCATATCTATAAACCAGTCACCAGACATCGACTTCACCGGTCCTATCACTGCCCGATTGCGCCAGCGAGACACTGGTTTACGGGCAACTGCCGATCCGTCACTTTTAGTGCAAAGTTTGCTTGATCTGGGTCAGTCAACCCGCATCCTGCCCTTCCATCCACTTCTGTATCTGAATTGCTGACTTGTGACTTTGATTGATTGATACATCACAGTTGTGGATCAAGCATTAGAAGTTGTTGACAAGTATCAGGACAAGATCCTTAAACTAGAACATGACATCCTTATCAAGCCGAAAATGAAGACTGTGCGATACCGTACGTTTCTCAACTTCTTCCAAACACATACGTTCTGCATCTCAAACTCAATTGCCGTTGATAATAATCGCAGTGCATATTTTGTCTGGCGACCTAACCCTCCACAAAAGAACCCTCGAACCAATCAAGACGCTCGTATACGGTCTACGACGATACGATGTCGACAGATGCGCAGCGCTTATCAACGCGTCTAACGAGGGCTCCAACGCTGCGACTCCGACGAAGATCGAGGGTTTCATGAGTCACAAATCCAAGATCTACCTTGCGGACGTGCACGATCATATAGACTATATTATCAATAGTCTGGATATGTTTTCGAGTATTTCGGAGAATTTGATTAATTATACGTTTAATGTGAGTTTTAGCATCATTTTTTATTTATTTAATTTTTTGATTCTGCTTATTGAATGGGGCTGATGTGTTGTTCTTTTTTGCTTTTGTTGTGCTGTGTAGATGGCTTCGTATGAGATGAATGAGGTCATGTAAGTATTTTCCCTGGCGTTCGCCTGTCTGGTTTGGACTTACAACGCCTGTTAATGGTTTATAGGCGTCGACTAACGATGGCTACGATCATTTTCCTCCCATTGACTCTTCTCACTGGTTACTTCGTACGTATCCTTATTCCAAGCTTGTATACATATTCATTACAAACCCCACTGATCCGTTTGTTTTTACTCAAATCTCAAAAAATAAATAGGGAATGAACTTTGACCCAATGTGGTCTGTGCAGCAGAACAGTGATGCTTTGTACGGCCGAGTTTCCTTCCCTTACCTCAATTCATGTTATTCTTTACGCGTTATAATAACTTTCCTTATCTTCGTTTTTTTCTTTCAGATTCTGGAAGATCGCTATCCCGGTAATGGTCGTTGTCATCCCTCTATTCACTTGGCCGGATATCCAGAGGATGATACATTTTGTGGAGAAGAGATGGGCTGCGAGAAACTTTGAGAAGGTTCGTTTCCTATTCGTATATACATACTTACATGGAATAAAATTCCGCGCGGGCTACGGATTACTGATGAGTTATTTTTGTTGATTTTGTAGGCTGTGAAACGAAGTACTGTTCATGCCAAGAAAACGCAGTAGTGGTGGATTGTGTTATCGTCGACGTCATTATTGATGTTATTACACTTTGTTTCAGTGCTTCTAGTGCTCACGTGCACTGGTATTGGGTTCACGACCCTCTGGCCGGAAGTTTCTCATGTTATCATCATTGCACTGTTTATCCCTAGATAGGTGTTCATTCAATAGTTTTTTTCGTCTGGTGCACGTACAGGATAAACGTACACCCATTTTCTCCTTTATTATATCTCATATCTTGACTTGAATGCCTTGGTCAGTTGAGTTGACTACATACACATCCCCCCCAGACTTAGCACACATCAGTATTCTATTACATTCGTCTTTCGTATTTGTTCCTTCGTTACATACCTTTTGTTTTGTTTGATCCATGGAATTTTCATGTTTGGGTTTGGTGGGTTAGCCTTATACCGTCTTCGTCATTACAGAATGTCGGATGTACGTACACAGATATCCGGAGTGATAGTAGTTAAAAGTAAACACTACTGTATTGCAGTGTGGGGTGCATCAAATTTGGAAGTGAATCTCTCCTGATATGGACTTTCTAAACCAAATTAGGAAGTCTAGTGGCTTTTTACTCAAACATCTTAACACTCCGCTAGATTTATATGATACGATTATGTTATGAGGTGCGTTGTTACGGCACCGGGCCAGAGGTGTGTGTGGAGCGAGCGCTTTTAGCGCTTACAGTTTACAGCATTGGGTATTTCCATGACCACTCGCATACGTGCTATCTGGGTCAGTCATCTCTGACATCATTTTCAGCTCTCGTGTATCCATTCCTCCGCCACCCGAATGGACCGACCCACTTTGTCCGGCGGTATTAGATATTGCACCACTTGGGAGTATAAATCCTGCCCATGACTTGCTCTTGGCATAGACCTCTGCTCGAAACACGCATACACATCTTACTCCTGCCTATCTAAAGTTGTCTCCGCCTCTGTATTTCTTACTTATAACAAACGCTCTGTATTGATTCCTCAAGAGAATGACTGTGCTCACGCAGACGAAGTCTCAACCGAATGGAGAGCTGGTTACAGTGACCAAGGATGCGAGCTCTCTACCACCATTGGAAGAGCTCATCGTGAAGTATGGAGATTCTGTAAGTTATCTTTGCTATGCCCTCACCTAATTCGTTGTATCCCCGGTTTGGACAGTCTTCGTTCTGACGAAGTCTTTGTTTGTTTTGTCTGTTTTTCGCTTTCTCGGTGTCGATAGTCCAATACAACATGGGTAGAGGATAAGTTCTCCGTCTGGCGACATCCACCCACAGGCGCCGCAATCGGCTTCGCAACGCCCAACTCCTCGAAGTACACCTCAGATTCCGAATTAGGGCTGGAGCCAGACGACCGTAACGGTAGCGGCGCAAGTGACTCTGTCTCAAACGTCGCAGGAACAACGTCAAACAATGGGAGCAGCAGCAACAACAGTAACAAGTCCTCCTCATCGAAGGGAAAGAACTTCCTCATAGCATGGGGAAACCCACTCTGTGCACCAGACCAACTCCCCGAAGCCCTCGACGCCTTCCTCAAATGGTGTGACAGCGAAGGGTACAGTCCCATCTGGACTTGCGTGAGTCTACCCGTGGAGCGGATCCTTGCGGAAGAACACGGTTGGCGCGCAGTGCTGTGTATTCAAGAAGACGCGCTCGACCCACGTACGGCAGAGCCGGAGAAGAACAAGGAAGTTCGTAAACATATACGTCATGCAGAGCGTGAGGGTTGTCAGATCATTGAGGAGGATGGTGTACCCAGTCCTGAAGTCCAGCAGGAGATAAACGAGTTGATTGAGGAGTGGAAAGCGGGGAGGAAGGGCACGCAGGTGCATACGACGAATGTTGAGCCGTGGCGCGACGTCGAGCATAGAAAGTATTTCTATGCGCGCGATAAGGATGGAAAGGTATGATGAGAATACCAACAGTCGCATAAGAATGTCGTTTTTGACTGCTGGATGTTTTTAGGTCGTCGGCTTCCTCTTCCTCGCAAAGGTCGCAGAAGGCTGGGCCATCAAAGACAATCTCGGCTCTAAGGATGCTCCCAAGAACATAACCGAATGGCTCATAGCGTCCGCCATCCACTCGCTCGCAGAGAAGGGTGAGCCGCGAATGACCTTTGGACCAACACCTGCATCTTCTCTAGAGACGCCGGAGAACGCGAAGATGAGCTCAGGAACGGTTCGTTTCCTGAGCAAGACGTACAACGGCATCGAGCACGCCCTGCTTGGAAACAAGCGCGAATTCCGAAAGAAGTTCGAAGTAGATGGTGAACCGATCTTCGTCTGCTTCCCGCCACACGGACTCGGTAGACGCGGGATTTCTGCGGTTATGAAGGTCTTGACGGATTAGAAGATAACACGGAAGGATTAAAGAAACTGTAGTTTAGTAGTTTTTCAGCTGTTTTGCGCACCTAGCATCCAGTGCCTTGATTAATATTATTTCAGCGGACTTTGATACAACCTATATAATAATAACGGCCCTTGTGCACTTTCTTTCCGAAAAAATTACAACAACTCGACTTGACCACGCTGAGGCGAGATGATTCCAACGACTTTCGCCTCGATGTCAAGCAAGTCACCTCCTTTCGTTACTACGAGATCCCGCTGGGATTCACTATTGACGGCGGCGCCGAGGAGACGCTCAACGTTCGTCGAAGCGAGTGCAATTGCTTCGGATTTGCTAACTTGGCCACCAGCCTCGATGTATGCCTATATCATCAAAGTCAAGCATTGTTTAATCATGACTAAACTAAGAAATGCAATGGTAGTAGCAGACGCACCCAAGAAACATCAAACCGAGCGTTCTGAGCTGCCCATCCAGTTATGGCGGGAGGCAACTCGCCTCCTGCGACGCCGAAGCCGACGGTAACGTTATGCCGCATCAAGTGTAGCAGCGCGCTTTCTCCTGATAACGGGGGTCCTGGTAATCTGCAAGTACAAAATCAGATCAATGTACTCAATCCAAAGACGGAGGTGTTTTGCCCAACATTCGTCTCCGATCCCAAGTTGCAGGGTATGGTCGGACAGGATTCAGAATGACACCAACACCTGCTTCGCCGAGTTGTCGTGCAAGTAAATGTGCCTCTGAGGCACCCGTGAGTGTCAACCGCAGGGGAGTTCCAGTGATTGACTCGACTTCCTCCTTTAAACTGAGTAGCGTTGCAATGTGATCCGCGCTGTGCACATTAACCACAAGAGGGATCTCAGCCTAATGAGAACCCTTAATTAGTCGTTTAAGCTAATAGATATAACTACCATTTCTGACCTTGAGCACCTTGTCAAGCCAAAATCCGAGGTCCCCTTCCTGCTTCACCGTAAGGAGCCTGCGAAGCGCTGCAATCTGTGTACTAACGCTCGGCTGACCAACGGAATTAATTGTAACGTGCAAGGCAGTGACACCCTGTATGACAGCGCCGCGCGTAGCCTTGAACGGTGCACCGGTTGAGAAATGCGTGCTCAAACCAGCAGAGAGTCCACTCGATGCCGGAGCAGTGATGGCAGAAGTGACGCCAGCCCTGTATGCTAATAAAGCATTTCTTGTAGAGAATATTAGACCGTCTTCGGCGCGAATGACAGCGTCATTGCCAAGAATACTCGGAAGGTCTTTGTTGAATGCATCGAGGACGTTGCCGTCCGTGGTTGAATCTTCCATGCCGATTTCTTGCAGGCCTAGGTCGCTCCCGAAAGATACCAAACCGGGACTAATGGAGCCGCCTTCTAGGTCGACGATAGTGCTATCACTGGACTTAGCAAACGAACCGCAGGCGCCACCAGATCCTTTGCAGATAATATGTCCACCCTGTGTGACGACCATTCCGGATCCATCAAAATCCAGGGTCTGGATCTCACTGAGAGTGTCTTCAACAGTCCATACGCTCGTAACATTCGTGAACACGACGACAGAATCGGTGAACGACTGCTGAGGGAGAAGCGGAGGAAGTCCTTCGTGTTTAAGGGTCTCCTTCGCTTCATCATCAAAGTTAGGAGTTTGAGGGACGTGCTGGAGATATTCTGACTTCTCGACCACATGAGGTGCTTTGAGCTGAGCGATGCCGTCTATGAACACTTGCTGAGGTGTAGCACCCAGCTGAAGTGGATGGCTGTCCCACAGCACGAGATCTAAAGACGCGTCAAGAAGGATCCAATAATGTACAGTTGACGCAGTACAAACCTGCATCATAGCCTTCTCTGATATAACCAATTCGATGCTCATAACCAAGGACTCCAGCAGCCGTGCTAGTAACTGAAGCCAAAGCAATATTTGGAGGTAGGCCGTAGTAATGAGCCTGTTGCGCTTCGTGAAGCAAGTATCTTGAGACGATGGCACCGTCTACACAGACTCTTAGCTGGATTAGACTGTTAGTAGAGGTTTCACTTACGATCGCTCTGTGTATGTGGTCCATCAATTATGAGGTAGTAACCGAGAATAGAGTGCCAACTCACCTTCATCACCACCCTTAATCCTGCATCATGCAGAATCCGAGGTGCATAAACTGAATGTCTATATGCCTCTCGTTTGTATCTGGAGAATGAGGCAAACATTGCTGATGCTGGAGGAACGTCTTCATATAACAAATTGTCAGGCAAGACATCATGAGAGAAATGGGGTAGAAAATAGTAAACCTCCATATGTTTTCTTAAGCAGGTCCGGGACAAGATACGTTTCATGCGCGTGATGGAAGGCAGCAACTGGAAATTGGAATTCATTGGACAACTATGTGATGTTTGAGAAACTGCCAAAAACGTTATAATAAGGCAACGTACACGAACGAAGTTATCAAGATCAACCGCTTCATAGCAATGGGTATGAACCTGTGGAGGATCGAAAATGTCACAAAAGAAGTACAGATAGAATTAAAGTATGTGCATACTCTGACTTTGCCACGGAGAATATCAACAGCTGCCTCCCACTGTAACTCCCCCGGAAACTTCGCGTCGCTGTCAATTTTACCAGCAAGAGCTTTTTCACAGAAGTTATCCTGTGACTCCTTTATTTTATGGGCTATGTCGTAACTAAATATGTATCATTTTATCAGCTGGTCATAGGCGTAGAATTCGACAATTTACACTGTACGGAACTGCCATGCCGTATCCATACGAGTTTGACCGTAAGATCTAGCTGTGGAAAATTTATTCTTTGTCCTCGGAGGAAAGGAGACATCATAAACTTACAAGGATTCTCTCCTGTTCGTCCATGAATTAATCTCTTAACCTCTGCTTTACAACAAACATTCCAGACATACCACAGGCATGTCTTAATCCAACAGTCAGCAGTGTTAATGGACCATAGAGGTATTACTGACTTCATGTGTCTCCATCGTGGCTTCACATTATAGTCAATTGCCGAGCCGTTTGTTCCGAAGGCCGGTTCAAGAAGCAAAGATGTCGGTGTACGCTCAGTCGTGTGACGCATTTTGATGGCAAATGCCTGTCCACCTGGTTTGTACAGACACTGGCAATTAATCCCATTATGCACAGTTATCAAGTGACTTGCCTATGGCGCCTGCGGAACCAGGAAGTATAAGACTCGTAGTAACACCACCAGAAATTGCTAGCGCATAGGATGCATCGTGGGTATTCAGACCGTCCAAAGAGCGAAGCCAAGGCTGAGTAGGTCCTTTGACGGAGTTCGTATCGTCCGCACCTGTCAATCCCGGTGCTGAGCCGACGGCGATGTGCGAGTGCACATCTATGATACTGAAACGAGAATTGAGTGAATAGATATTATGAGAAATAGAGAGCTCTTACCCGGGTGTGAGCCATGCACCCTTTGCATCAATGATATCGAGATCAAACTCGCGGTTCTGCTTCTTTTGCAAAACAGAATGAGATAAATCCTTTCCAATCCATTTGATGAGTCCTCCGTCCAGCAACACATCCCCAGTTATGTCCTCAGTTCCATTCGCATTACCGGTCCAGATCGTTGCATTTACGATCAACGTCGCATTTGTTCCAGGCACAAAACGGTCCGACTCCTTTCGCTTGTAGAAGTCTTCTGGTGGACCAGGCTTAACATTCAGAGCGCGACAGCGCGCAAGGATATCTGGGGGCAGCACATATTTCGAGCTTTCGCGGGATGTAGAGCGCAATAGAACGCTCCCGCTTAGGATATAGAGAAAGAGCGAAGCTATGATAAGACCGAAAGCTGTTCGTCCATGGCGTTGAAGACTACTGGTGCGACGGTTCCGTAGGGTATCATGAATGCCTGCTTCAATTGCTAGGTTGTCACTACGAAAGGTGGTGAGCTTTGTGAACGCAGGCATGTCCCGCCTACTTATATCCGCGAGGCTAAGATGATGGTCAGAAGAAGAAGACAATTCGATTCCGTCCCTTCAGTCCATCAAACAAGAAGAAGCGCGTGCGATCGTGTCAAGGCGAAGCAAGAAATCGCGTCTTTGTATATATATTATATAAGCAGCGCTTTTCTCATGTCGATCATCGAAATTCTGAGTACTTGCACTAGAGTCTAGTGACTCTTGACTTATGAATGATGCCTAGCAGCTCAATGCATGCATCCCGACAAGCCTTGCTCTTAATCCTTCTTTAGTTGTGATAATGCTGGAAGATTTTGCCGATTTAGATCTCTCAGATGCTGAGGGCTCTCGCAATAGAGAAGATCGCATTCGAGCGGCTTTTGAGAAGAGCAAACAAAGTTACTCTCACGAGTTAGTATACACAGAACCCGGAGTAAGTCTATGCTTATGGCTCGCAATGTATTAGTTGTTGGTCTGAGGAATCTAATGCGAGGCTTCAAATTAATCTTTATTCAGTGGTATGATCCTCCGCAGATTCCAGCGCCAACGAAGTTGCACGTCCGAAACATCGACTATAGCCTCAATAACTTATATTTAAACCGAGACTACACTGGAGCTCTAGATCTTGCATTATCGCAGATAGAGGAAGAAGAGAATAACTCATATGGCGAAGGTCGCGAATTCCAGCTGCTTGATATAGTCATTCGCTGTGCTCTAAAAATTGGCAATAACGAACTTGCCGGACAGCTTGCGGAGAAGACCTCTAGAAAGGTAGCTGTCTTTATTTTCTGCCTTGCAATATACTGAAGGGATACAGTAGTGGTTGTCTAATGTTGGCTTGGCCCGAACGGCGGCAGAAACTTACCTGGCTGCTGCTCGATCCAGAGGTGAGAAATTCAGCAACGTATAAATGCTGAGTCTTGCCAATCATTTATTTAATTAGATGCTCTAAGAGCGATCCTAGCAGCAATCTCGGTCCGTGGACCTCAAATAACATATGTTTCTGTCTTGTGCAGAGCAGTTGAATCATTGTCGGAAGAGCTACCAGAATCCGAGGCTATCAGCTCAATGCTTTCAATAATCAAGACACATATTTGGCATCGAAGCTCTGCTGGTGCCGAACCTCCTGGTACAATTGACGAGACTACGGCGTCAAGATGGTCTGTGGAGTGTGGGATTGCAGGTGCTGACCAGCAGCGGCTAGTATCACTACTGTGCTACAAAACATCTCGTGAAGCAGAACATGTGGTAGAAAAAAGTGTCAGAACCCTTTGATATGTCCAGATAACAAAGGAAATAACAAGAAGATCGTATCTAGTACAACTAATGTGGGTATCAGTTGTCGTAAGCCTGACGCAGACGCGCCTCTGTCAGTTCTAGAGCTCTCTCTCTTGCAGCCCACAATGGAGTATCCTTTTTCACGAATCTCTCCCATACATGACCTGCCCCTGGTATTGTATGAAGAACACAATCAACGCCATCTGCAATGAGTTTGTCTGCTAGATCAACTGAATCAACCAGAAGAGGGTCATCCTCCCCAACCTGAAAACATATTTGTCAAATGTGTCTTAAATCAGTTTTTCCCATTATGCAACTTACTATGAGCGTAGTCGGAGGAAACAGGGCTGAATCCGCGTAAAGAGGTGAAACGTTCGGATTCATTAGATCGATGCCACCTGGGAGGTAACAAGATCGGAACGCTCGATGTAACCAACTTGCAAAAGGCGAGGTTTTTTCTTCCCTCCCACGTTTTGTCATGTTTGTTGGCGCATACCATGCGACGATACCCTTGACCGGAGACGCTCCTTTAGCAACTCGAAGAGCAGCGAGAATAGCAATATTTGCCCCGGCTGAATATCCTCCAACAGTAATCTTGGACACGTCGAACACATCGGGTTTAGATGCGACAAATGCAAGAACATCGGTAGCATCATCAACCGCAGCCGGATATGGATACCTTGGACCCTTGGCGTAGTCCGAGTCCAGTACAATACACCCAAGTCTATTTGCCAAATATGCGCAAAGCTCGGCATCGGAACCATGGCAAGGCAGAACGAAAGCACTGCCATGAAAACTGATGTGTACCGGAAGAGGACCAGAGCTACTTGGACGAGAGACGGGCTCGTATACATCGACGACGATTCTCCTTCGCTTGTCCTTTGACGAGGGGATCCGGAAACTTCGAGTGGGGCGCAATGAAGCAGGCTTATGGAGGACGCCTATGCGTATATCAAGGTACCTTACGAGTTTAACCAAGAGGTTTATCAAACATTGAGCAAAAAACACAACCAGCCGTTGGAAGAGACGGTTCCAGCTGATGGATGTCATAGTTGATAGCGAGCAGTGTCTGCATTGTTACGACGGATGCAATGTACCATGGGAGAGCGCGTCGGTGTGCGAGTGAGAGTTACAGAAATAACACTCTTGATTACTTTGGCAGTTATGACTCACGATTACGCGATTGACCCGCTTTAACCTTAAACCTCCACAACTGTCTAAATTCTTCATCTCTGTCTCTACTGCCATGCACTCGGCTGATATACCTAACCTGGTAGGACTTGTATGATATCGGGTGTCTACTTTATTCGGGGAGTTCATGCAGATTAATGGGTCTTTTGCCTCACATAAATTGGAGCATCTGGCTGCGTTCAAACTTGTACATATCGAAATTAATCATGTTGCGCCGAGCTAGCTCGTGTACGCCTCCACAGAGTCCTAGACCTGCAAAAAGGCAGAAGGTGCAACACTTGACGTCGGAAAGCTTCAAAAATGGAGTTATGCTGGCACCAATGGTCCGATCCGGTTCTCGTAAGTTACTGTCATCTACTTGTGGTGGTTGCTTGTGTGCTTAATTGCGAGGTATTCACAGTGCCTACCCGTTTATTTGCGCTGAAGCATGGTGCAACACTTGTTTGGTCGCCGGAAGTTGTTGACAAAGCTATTCTACATGCTGAGAGAGTCATTGATCGTACGTCTATTTCTCCTCATTGTTGACTACAGCTCACCGCCTTTGTCCTCATCCGCAGCCGAAACGGGAGTTATTTCGTATAATGGAGTGTCTAGGGCTATATTCTCCACACATCCCATAGAAAAGCCGTACCTTATTTATCAAGTTGGCTCAGCAGATCCTGAGCTTGCTGTAAAAGCTGCACAGACAGTGCAGCAGGACATCTCCGGCATAGACCTCAACTGCGGGTGTCCGAAGCCATTCTCCACACATGCAGGAATGGGAGCTGCACTCCTTACGAACCCGGATCTTCTATGTTCTATTCTAAAAGCGTTGCGTGCAGCAATGCCTCCAGAAATTTCAGTATCTGCAAAGATCCGCCTACTTCCAACTCAGGAGGATACGCTCAAGCTGGTAGAACGAATAGTGGATACCGGGATAACTAATTTGACTGTGCACTGTCGAACGCGAAATATGCGACCTAGGGAACAGGCCTTGATTGGTAGAATGCGCGAGATTGTTGAGTTTGTGGAGAAGATGGGTAAGGGCGTATCAGTCATTGAAAATGGTGACTGTGTTAGTCGGGAGGATGCTATACGCATACGGGACATCACTGGTGGGTAACTTCCCGAGATAGCTGTGCATTTTGCTTATTAGATGAAATATCAGGTGCTCATTCTTGCATGATTGCAACTGCTGCGGAGTCAAATCCGACTTGCTTCTCGCCCACCCCACTCTCCGATCTCATCAAGACGTTTGTTCCTTCATACATTCGGCTGGTACGTCTCTTGTCACTTAAAGGGATTTTATTTTCTCATCCTTCACTAGGGACGATATCTAGGTAACCATTTTGGGAACACTAAGTTTTGCGCGATGACGTTTAAAGGTGCAAATAAGGACGTCAAGAAGGCTGAACGACAGAGACTCACGGAGAAACTACATCGTGCTAAATCATACGAGGATCTGGACGAGTTCGTCGGAAGCTTATGGAACGGTGACGAAGAGTTGCGCGAAATCGAGAACAGTATCGCCGCACGTGTCAATGGCGTTTTGTATCCACTTGATCCTCCCCCTCCAAAGGCTATGCAGGAGAAGATGGAGAAAGAACTCATAAACTCGGTTTCAAATGGAATGGATGCTGGCAGGTCTGATGCATTGTTGAACGCTGGATCGTTGGAGAATGAGCCAACACCATCGAAAACTCCGCCCGACCGCGAAAACCCTGAGCCAGTGTCAACTAATGCTCCTCTCTTACCCGTGAACGAGCAACTCATTCCAATACCTGCCTTGGTCATTGGTGAAGATGCTCCGACGCCTTCACCGACACCTAGACCTTAGATCCCTCAATCTATCACTTTCTTTGGTTCAACGAGGTTTCACCTTGTAGTATACGCTGCTCTTTATTCACGTCCGATTCGTACCTATCTTTATATAGAATTTAGATATTGTTATCTCAGTAGGTCTTTAAAGAGGAGGGGGAGGTGGGGGAGGTGACTCAAGGTAGCTTGTCAGAAAGAAGGCACATGTTGACGTCGTCATCTTGGGAATGCGAACGCAAAAGTGTTCAAAGTCCGTCCCGTAAATATATAAATCTCAAAGCCAAATTCCAATGCTGGTCTAATTTCCTTCCCGGCCTGTCTATCCAACGCTCGAGTCTCTTTAGAAACAGTTTAATAATGTTGACCTTTGAAGCACATTAATGTAGTATTTAATTATACATTTATATGTAATACGTCTCTTTGAATTGTTACGTTAACTTCGAAATTAAATTCGGACCGACTAGTCTGCTGTGTAATGATGACAGCATACAATTGTCCAGAAGAGGAAACACATCAAGACGCTCAGTCATTCTACTTTACTTATCTCACTCTGTTGCATTCAATTATCTCATCCCAAGACCATGCCGCCCTGGAATTCGGCAAAGACAAAGGTACGACTGACAATTAGTAATTTGTGCCCTACTGACACTTTATCAGGTTCAGTTGCGGTATGTCCAGTGACATGATGCGATTGCTGTTGTCTAAAGTGACCAAATGTACAGGATTGCGGTCCAACGCCTCCGCCTCCTACAAGAGAAGAAAGAAGCTCAGGCTAAGACAGCACGGAGGGATATCGCAACGCTTTTGGAGCAGGCGAAGCTCGAGAAGGCTCGGGTAAAGGTGGAGGCTAGTGAGTTACGGCTATGATCGATGCGCAGACTTCCCGCAATCTGAGTTCATCTTGAGTGACCAGTCATTAACGAGGATATACACATTGAGCTCTTGGAGTTACTCGAGCTATATTGTGAGCTTTTACTTGCGCGTTTCGGCCTGTTAGAGCAAAAGTAAGCTACTTCCGTGTCTTCATTTCCGCCACCATTCATCTGACCTACCACTCATCTAGTACTCGCGAACCAGACCAGGGAATCAGCGAAGGAGTTTGTAGTATCATATATGCCGCTCCAAGGACGGAACTTAAAGGTTCGGCCATATCTACGAACTCGTCCCACCCACGACGACGCGCATCTGCGATTTAATTCTGACTTAATTAAATAGAACTTCATGTGCTGCGGGATATGTTGATGCACAAATACGGCCGCGACTTCTCCATTGCGGTGATGGACAACAAAGACGGCTGTGTGAGCGAGCGTGTGTGTACCACTCTTTAAATATACTACGTACCGTCGGTAGTCATGAACTCGGTGGATTTAGGTCATGAAGAAGTTGGCTTTTCATACTCCCCCCGAAGATCTGGTGGACGCATACCTCAGGGAAATAGCTAAAGGCTATGGAATTAATTGGGCACCTGAGCCGAAGCCCGATGACGAAGATTTCACCGGCGGGGGCGGGGTTAAGGTACGATAACGTTTGAACTATTGGGTACGAGCATTTAGTCACTTCTGTGTGGTTCGCAGGATGCGTCCAACGTTCCGGCGTCCGAAGCTCTAGTACTTCCTAGCGCGAAAATTGCGGCAGACGAGAAGGTTCCAGCTCTTCCTACCATTCCTCCAACCGAGGACTCCGACAAATCCAAGACTTCATCAAAGAGTGCTACCCCAATCGTTGCACCACAAAGGCCAAAGACACCAGAAGATGAGTTCGCACTTCTGGCGAAGCGATTCGAAGCGCTTAAAAAGCGCTAGTCATAGAGTTTGACTGCATAACAGGCGGTCACATTCGGAGGAAGTGTGTGGATTCATCGAGAGTCTGTCTCAAAACATGTATAGCAACTGTAAACTGTACAATTACAGAGTAACACACTTTACTTCTGTGTAAATCTTAGGTCTTGTGCCATTATCAACAATCCCTCATTATTGCTGGTATCTCAAGGTTTATCCGCCGTCCGCTTCGGATGAGCAAGCCACTACCCGTTAGCTCTGTTAACGTTCAGGCCGCAGACTTCGTATTGTATGCAGTTCTCAGTGCGACAAGGTCTAAGGTCAGCTGATCGCACTATCTAGACGATATTACGCTTACTTGACCAAGCTTACATACATCCCACAGGCGGATGGACTGCTCTCCCAGGAACTTGCTACTCCTAGGAAAGTGACGGCGCTACTATGGACTGATTCCGATGCCAGCTCAAGGTCGGCAGACCGTTCGGCATGAGACCATTCCTCAGCTGCGGAAACCACGATGTATACGCATTGCATTCTGAACGTCCAAGGCCGAATAAGACGGTACCCAAGTTGTATGAACTGACTTTACTCAGTATATTACGCCCATTCTATATTATTGGTGTCGAATGGGTGAAGAAGAATGCGCTTCAAGCTTCATCCTCAGTTGAGAAGGGGCAAAACTTAGCCAAGTCATTAATACTTCCATATCGAAGTGGGGTTGTCCTGAATTCGTCCAACCCTTGCTATCAGAAGTTCTGTGGAAGTATATACGTGCCCGCGGGGCAAGCCATACTGGGTGGCGTTCCGATGGCCATGCTCATCATTAGCCTTCTGTACACGTCTTTGTGTCATCAGATACAGTGCCTTGCTATATCCATGAGCTCCAGTGAAGGATTCGACGCTAGAACTGCATCAACAGACACCTATTCTTTACGATGACAAGATTGGCTCCCCATATTGGCCTTCAACACAATGTCCCCGGCTATAGACGAGCGCAATTCAGGGGGATGAACGGAACGAAGTATCCTGGACAAAGACAGCAAGTATGACATATAAATGCCTTGATGTTACTTGCGTAGCTAGTGAAGTAACTGCAGTTACCATCTTCATTCCTCGAGTATCCCTTCGCAATCAGCACTCGTTCCAGTGTGTGCTCAAAAATTTTACCTTGGAATGGATGAAGTTGTGGAGAATCTATTCACACCAGAATGGTAAGCCTTCTCTTTAGATAGTGAGAAATGACTGTGTGAGAATACATCAAACTGTATAGCAGAATATGTATACCCTGGATATGACCAATTAAAATGCCGTAAGTCCTTCGATGAGTAGATGGAAGAAATGCAGATCCAGTTTACCGGAGAGCCTAGCAGGGTTTGTGGTGCTTCCCTGAGATGAACGGAGGTTGTGTTCGGAGTTTTCTCAATTAGAATAGTTAAGCGGATTAATACAACCAGCTTGGCAAGATAGCATATAGGTTATTCAGGCTAATTTACAAGTGCGACCGAGGAAAGCATTGACATGAAGTGTAGCCGGGATCCTGGGGGGGCGTCTATAAATCTCCTGAGAGATTAAGCGTTGTTGCCATTAATGTTGATGTGGATCAATACGCGAAAAGGAGCTGCATATTCGGCTTTAACACATCAACTTGCCTCCACAGAGCAGAAAGAAACGATTGAATGGAGCTGGGCGGCAGGAAGTAACGAGGTGAGATATTTGTGCGTTGCTTTGTGCGAGAGAGAGAAAGAAAATTGCTATACGACACGAGACGAGTGGTGCAAACAGGCATCAGTATACGGAAGTATCCGAAGCACGTGATCTGCTAAGTCGGAAAAGACGGACTGTTCCGACGATCGGCAATGAATGTGCTTAACTCACTCAATGAAATTATCCTCAAATTGTCCTTGCTCTGCTCCCGTATAAAGCTCCTGATGCGCCGCCGTTTGCTCTCCATACTTACCCATGTATCCTACCTCGGGCAGCAGAAGCGATAACATTAGTCGCGGTGAGGAGAATGGCGCTGGTAGCATTAGTGACGACCATGCCGTCCACTACCGTGTCCGCCGTGCAACTCTGTCCGAGTCCCCCACAGCCGTATCTCCCGATTCGGACGAGGCGAGTAGCCACTCGACTGCGGAGTACGTCGGTGTACACTGCTCTGCACCTCAAAGTCCCGCCTCGGAAAGTGTTACCTCCTTCGACTTCGAACGAGGCTCGGCCAGCGAGCACAATTCCTCGCCATCTCCACAACCCTCGCTTTATTCTTTGACTGATTCAATCAAGGAACGATCTATCCGCTGGGAGCATGGCCGTCCAATTAATGCCCACTGTGAGCTATACAAATTTCCGGTAGACGAGGAAGAAGTCCATCGGCTCGGTGAGGACGTCTTCTTTCATTCACTTGTTTAATTAAACGAATACACGAAAGATAAACTGCACCGCCTCCTCAAAGCGCTAGCCGGAGAATACGTGCCACCATTTTATGAGGCCCTTGCAGACAACCATGATCTCTCCAATCCGAAAACATGTCTTGATCTTGGCTGTGGTTCGGGTACCTGGTTAGTTTCGAGTATCTGATTGTAATTTGATAATCAGGCACTGTAATCTTAATTCACCGTTGGTTAGGATACTTGAAGTCGCAACCGCATTTCCTCATGTTTACTGCACAGGTGTTGATCTTGTTCCTCTCCCGAGGTGAACTTACTTTCCACTCCTAGTCCCAATATACGCACCTAATACTTCACTGTTTATTAAGGCCTCGAATTCCGTCAAACCTTCGATTCGAGGTTGACGATATCAACCTCGGACTAGAGCATTTTGCGAACCAATTCGATGTCGTAAACGTGCGATTTATATCCCCTGGTATCAAGGACTATTACCGGTTAATTAACGACGCGGCTCTCGCACTCCGAACACGCGGACTAGCGGATTTCACGGAGTTCGATTGGCGTTTATTCGATATTGAGAAGCGAGCACTTATTCCCACTATGGCCGAGATATGGGGATCTGTATCTCCACCCGAAGGCTGGACTCGCACAGGTATGGCTCGTTCGGGAACAAGTCCCGCTCGCCACATTCTTAGAACGACTGTTAACTCTGTCCCAACGCCCTTCTGCGCACGCTTCTTTGCTCTGGCGCGTCTGGCTGCGGTAAAGCGAGGTGCTCACGGTGACGCGGCCCCACTATTACACCTCTGGATGACTGAACATCGCTCATTCGAGGATGTCGTGTATCGCGAGCTCTTTATCCCTTGTGGTGATTGGCTACGCAACGAAGACGCACGGAGGCATCCTACCTTCAGCAATACATCAGCAGATGAATTTGAAAAGCTTCGTTGGGCAGGTAAGGAAGGTGGCGAATCCTATCTCGTAAGTGGCCTTGACTAGCGCTGATTAAGACTGCCAACATTTCTTCCTGACAGATGTTCATGTCGGCTGCACGTCCCTTAATCCTAAGCACGGGTGTACCTGAAGAACTCGTCAATTCAATTATGGCTCAAGCTTCTCAGGAAATTCATGAGGCTCGCACTCCGCTGTTTTTATGCATACATACTGTATACGCGCGGAAAAAAGAAAGGCGACATTAACTTCCTTTTGCGCCGACTTCTTCACCGCGTTCCAAAAAAAAAAAAAGCTGCCTTCACGGTTAAGCTGGTTCTGAATGTTGTCTTTACTCTCTGTTACCTCTATTTTTATTGAATGTATTGCTTTAAGTATCTTTGGCTTGATAACGAGCGGCTATTCCGAGCTCCTTGCTTATCGTGTCTCAGACATAGACATTTGTAAAATCACCTCGCCGTAGAAATGCCCGAAATATCTGCTGAGCAATGCCAGGGATGATCCGGGCCGAAGAACGGCAACAATCTGGACATGACTTTGCGCCGCCCAACGAAATGTCCCCAAGATGTCCTCTTTTCAACCCCATAAAATGTGTCCTGATGCGTGATCATTCCATCCACTCGCATATACCTTACCTCAGGTCAGGCAGTGGAAGCGAAAATGCTGCTCAGAGCGAGGACACTGGAATCTATATTAGTGACCTTGTCGTTTACCGTTCCGTTGACAGTTTGCCTACTACATCGGAGTTTCCCACAGATTCACAGACGTGTCCCCCCGCTTCAGTCAAGGTGACTACCCACTCCGCAATGAGGCATAGGGGCATCTTGTCCTCTGCACTGCATTGTCCTGCCCTGTAAAGCATCACCTACAAGTTTGAACATAGTGCAAGAGGACGATTATACTTGCTGCACTGCAGCCTTCACTGTATCCCCTAAATGATTAGATCGAAAAGCAAACTTTACTAGAATTCTGTCGTATAGTCCGAGTCGTTGCTTACCCTGAGCTGAATTAATTTCCAGAGGAATGAAGGCAACTCCTGATTGTAAGGCTGGTGTCATTTGTCAAACTTGTCATCTATCTGAAAAGCTCCGAAAATGATTTGCAGTAAAGTGAGTCTACATGTAATTGGGGTACAGAACACTGTACATAACTACAGACAAACACATCAACAGTACCTATAATCGCTTCCATGTATGTCTTAAGCTTCTTTGTCTTTCCTGTTGTCCAACTGCTTCAAGCAAAATTAATATCAAGACACATTTTCCGGTCCAAGCAACATAGGAAAAATAATCCTGTTAACAAAACAAAAACAAACCCACAGACAATCTGGTAGTTTGTGCAGTGCAGAAAACAAGATCCCATTCACTATGCAAAATAAATGTTGTAGTTGAAGAATATATTATAAGTAAGTATAATATATCTGCATCTGCACAACAGTCTTGCATATGTTTTCGTTTTCACATCAGAGTCTAGATGGTAAAGTAGTTCAGATAATTACATGCTGTTATTTTTCCACTGCTTTGAATTTCTTTGCATTGTATTTAATATTATTCAGTCAGTGGTGGCTCTTTCCGACTCAAAATGAGATTGTTGTCTCAGCTATGAGCTCGGACCAACACTCACTCAGCTTGGTTCTGCCTTGGTGAGCTTGAGAACACAGCCTAAAGAATGTCGCTCGGACTCACAGTTACAACAAAACACGGGAAAACTTGCCGAGCAACGTACTCGTCTTTGTCAATTAATGCTACACTAACCATAGCTGTTAATCGGAGTTTTCTCCTTTTAAAGAGTCCAGGCAACGCGATCCGAAACACGATTGCTCGCAAAAGTAAGCAAGTAGTCGGAGCCAAGGCTAATACCAATGTCGTTGCCACTAACCAAAGCCTTCTTGCTAGTCTGTTTCTGCACTTTGAAAGTGTCTGTCTGAGTGGAACAAGTTTAATGCTCGGGTAGACCGGAAATTTGACGCGACGCGCCTTGCCTCCTGAGCCACGTGCACCGTGCAAGACGCGTACTTTGACGCGACGGTCCTCCAACTCAACTCCAATTCCAACTTCATTCACCACTCCAATATTACCTATCACACCCTGCTATGTACTCCGCCGCATCCAAAGCTAAGCGCCGCACACATGCCCGCCCAGAGCTCTCCGACGAGCAAAAGCAAGAAATCAAAGAAGCCTTCGAGCTGTTCGACACGGACAAGGACCGATGCCTTGACTACCACGAACTGAAAGTCGCGATGCGCGCGTTAGGATTTGATTTGAAGAAGGCTGAGGTGCTGAAGATCTTGAGGGACCATGATAAGACGGGACATGGGCTTATGGAGTATGAGGATTTCGTGAAAATTAGTGCGTTTTACTACTCGCTTTAACTTGGATTCGCTTTACCTTTTCCACTGTTGAATCTCTCTAATTTATTGACATAAATCCTTGTTGATTACAGTGAGCGAACGTATACTTGCACGCGATCCATTAGATGAGATAAAGCGCGCGTTCCAATTATTTGACGATGACAATACCGGGAAGATTAGTCTGCGGAACTTACGGAGAGTAGCAAGGGATTTGGGTGACAAGCTTGATGATGAGGAATTGTACGTGTTCATTGTCTTTATCTCTGCCTCGCGTTCTACTTACTATCGTAACTTGTACGGGAACAGACAAGCGATGATAGATGAATTTGACTTGGATCAGGACGGGGAGATTAATGAACAAGAGTTCATTGCGATTATGACAGACGACGCATAGCGTGCGCAATGCGTCCTCTATGGAGCTCTGATTTTTACTGTTCTTCTCCTATGTTGCACCAATGTATATTATGCCGCAGTGGTGACTCTGACATTCATCTTTCCTGTGTATGACAATTCCTTCGTCGATCGGTGTGGCAGGATGTGCTGACCTGTTAAGGCGAGCAACGCGAGTAAGTCTTCTCCTTGCATATATTTGATAACATATCATTAGCTCAGGAAGAAGGTCCTCGGAGCGGCACGATCGCCTCAAGAACTCACTGAATCCGCCCAAGGATGCTTCTTTTGCGCTCCGCAAAGCCGGCATCATAGCGATCACAAGACCCAAACTCAGAACTTGGACCACCTGCAATGCAATAGAACGCGGCGCCATTTGAATCTTTACCTTCACAGCTTTCTTGACAAGGATATTTGACAGCTCGTATCCCCGAAAATTTGCCGAAGTGCTGTCTTCGAGAGTGGTATCGGGCGGCGACTCTGGGGTCTAATAAACTCCGTAAAAGGAACGACGATGCTGCTTATACTGCTGTGATCTGTTTAGTATCTGCGCTTGCTCTGGAACTTGGCATTATGCTGCTGCAATCTGCATTTACTGTCTTTGTGCTTACGATCCTCGATGTGCTTGGTGTGGAAGCGGTGCGTCCCGTTCCTCATGGTTTCGCCACTACGGATGGGATGCAGTTTCAAGTCGACGGAAAGCCTTTTGTACGCTCCTTTTTTCTACACCGTTGATATCTATATTCCCCATTTTAAACCTTATAACATTTTCTTGGTTAGAATTTTGTTGGAGCAAATTCCTACGTGCGTTCTAAAACACCTTTTTATTAAACTTCTCATCAAGTGACTGTATTGCATAATCCAGTGGCTCCCGCTTCTGACAACTCAACATGATGTCGAACTGACCTTTCAGGGGATGCAGGAGCAAGGTATCAAAGTAGTTCGGACGTGGGTGCGTAAATAAATCCAACCTTAAGCATTTAGAAAATGCAATTCGCTTATTTGTTAATGTATTCTAACTTTGTTTTGTACGTCAGGGATTTAACGCAATTAATGAAACCGAGCTGGCGGGTGCTAAAGAATCTGGGTTGACGTACTACCAAGTAGGTGGATCATAATCTTCAACTCGTTAAAACACTTCTGATCATATTTTAATTAATTATCAATTATTATAATGCAAACAAGATTTGGAATAGTAGTCAATGGGTGGGGAACGATGATCCGCAAGGCTTGGAAAGGCTGGATAACGTGGTGAAGACAGCAGCTAAATACGATCTTCGCCTGATCATCACTTTCACCAATAATTGGTAAAATGGCTTTTACTATAGTCTTTATTTGGTTCTAGATTTCTGACTGAATAATTAATTGCTGTATATCGGCTTATAGGTTGGCGTACGGTGTATGCATGAACTTGCGAAACTTTGGTAACAGACGTACCAGCTGAACGAGACTTACAGGGCTCAGACTTGTTCCTCAACTGGATCGTAGGGCCGAACGTAACACACGACGTGTTCTTCACAAATAGGGACGTGATCGATTCATACCGTTCGTCCCTCTCCCTCTTCTTCACTGTAATCCGTAACCCCAACTGCATGCATTATAGAGCGATATGTAAAGACGATCGTAGAACGATACAAAGACTCGCCTATAATTTTTGCTTGGGAACTTATAAACGAGGCACGTTGTTTGAGTGATACGATCCCTGCCGGACCGAATTGCGTTCCTGGATCGAATACACTTTTTAATTGGTATAAGGAGCAGAGTGATTTCGTGAGGAGTCTGTGAGTTTGTTTGTCCGTTTCTCCCTTGCTTTTCGCGTTGGTGCTTGAACGGGACTTTTTATGTATTGCATAGGGACCCGAATCATATGATCACGACTGGTGGAGAAGGTCATTTCTTCTGGAAGAACCCGCCTATTATGTACGTTTCTTGAATTGTAGACCCGTTTCCCCTGATATGACAGTTAATGGTATGTTTATTTCATTTAGCTGGACAGACGGCGTACCATCAACAGACTATAATTTTAACGGCCAGGGTCAGTGTCCAGTCTATGTTGTATTTGTTTCCCAGTGTTTCCTGAGAAACTTAACGTCTTTCTATTTAAATGTCAGCTGGAGAAGACTTTGACCTCGATCTTACCCTTCCGAACATTGATTTCGGTGTATACGTGAGTGTTACCTTCTCCAAAAGTTGTTTACCAATATTCACAACCTTGATTTGTGTGTGTTAATCGATAGCACTTGTATCCTCAAGCCTGGTATACCAACCTCGATTTTCCCGGATCCAACTTCACAGTACAGGACTGGGGTCTGGGATGGATTCAGGATCATGCCAACTGTGGGTTCTTCATTCACCGTTCCAACTGACTGGGTGCATGTGGCATGTATGTACTGATGATTACAACGCTCCCCTTTCCTGGTTCGCATGTAGCTGCAAAGAAAGCGAAGAAACCACTTATCCTTGAAGAGTTTGGCATATCTGGAATCGGTAAGCCGAATCTGTTATTCTGTTCTGCTCTCGTAGCACGCAAACCTATTTGGAAATCGAAACTTACGTTTTCTTTTTGCCTTGTGCCAGATAACAAGACGTCTATATATCCAGTATGGGTCCAGCGAGCATTGGATACGAACCACGCGTAAGTTATTATCTCTCTTGCATCATGCATCGTCTCATCCCACTCCAATCCTGTGTTACAGAGGGTAAGCACGATATGTCATAATCAAGGCATACCCACTTGAGCTCACCAATGCATCCTTTCCTACCTCATCCACAGCATCATGCCATGGCAGTTTGGTCAGCTAGGCTTGACAGAGGACGGTGGGAACAGACCTATCAAGTATGGAGACAAGATTCTGAATGGCGTGCGTAACGTTCTCTTTTTCCTTTTTCCTTCCTCCCTTCTCTTTCTCTGTATCTGCCGTCGGTTTGATGATGAATCTATTCTTTTCTCGCATATATTATCGTTGAACATCACAGGCCTCTCCAAACGACGGTGAGTTTCTCATATTCAAATCTCTTTCCATTTAGTCCAAAGATAATTGACTAAATTGGTGATAAAAATACAGGAAATACAATCTATCCAAACCAGACGCAGTTGGTCGATATCTTCGTGTAAGTTCAGCATTTTCTCATACTCTGCATCCCGACAAACTGCCCAAATCGCACTTTTTCCTTACTTTTAATTTGCTGTACCAGTCGAGCGGCGAAGATCCTGGATGAGAGGAGTGGTTGAAGGTAATTCATCTCTCTCCCTTTCAACTTATCCATGCGGAAAGGCAAATGGCGTGTAGCTTGGAATGTTATATTTTCATTTTGGTATGCATGTCCACAATCTCCGAACGGAAGAAACGAAAGTGAATAAAGAAAAGAAAATGGAAAAGGAAAAGAAAATTACATTGCATAGCGTAACCGCCCAATGTCCGAACTCATAATCATGAAGGAAGAAAGTATACATTACGCTACGATGGAACTACTTGCACGATCGGTGTGTGAAAGAAGGCAGGTATGTGGATATTGCGATGCAACCAACAAGCGTGAATTGGATTACGAAAAGCAAACGACGAGGATATCAGATATGGAAGTCTAAAGAAGTCCAATAGATGAGACTACAAAGACTAGTAGTCATATTCCCGACGATCGACTCTTTGTAACCTAGACGTCTTGCGGCCGAACATCCCTTCCGCTAAGAAGGAGAGTAAAAGAACAACAGAGTTAGGAAGCAGAGTTAGGAAGGGGGGATTGCGGGAGACGAACACACAATGGTTTTTCAATCCGACGTACCAGGGTGTGCTTGTGTCGGCCCTGGCCTTTCCACATTATTATTATTCCCATATCCATGTCCATACCCACCATATCCAGAAGAACCGACACCGGTGAACGCCTGCGGTGTGGGTTGCGGATCTTGAGTATATGCATTTGACGGGTACGAGAAGCCTCCACCGCCATACGGAGCATTACGATTGACAGACCCTTGGCGTGTGCTAGCGTAAGTTCCTTGGCGTTGTGGCGGATATCCGCCACTACCCGCTCCTACTCCCGCATGATCGGAGTAAATCGAGGGAGCCTCTTCTTGTCGTTTCTCGGCTAGTATCGTCGACACGCTCGCCGAGCTGTCTTGCCTTCCATGTCCTCCACGACCTACATCACGCGCAAGCGGTACACGGGCGCCGGCGCCATCGCGCTCGTCGTCGTCAAACGACGGTCGCGCATCCCACGGGTCTGAGCGGTTCGTAAGTGGGATAGCACCGCTCTCGACGCCATTGACAGAGTAAAGAGATCTATATTTCTCGTGATCGCGCCGCTGACCTGTACCGTACGAGGAAATGACAGTGTATAAATAGAACTAGATATATGAGTATGAGAAAAATCAGTATATCTGACAGGAGAAAGATGCCGCCCGTGAAGCGCTGTCAACGGACCTGCATAATAGCGAGAATGACCCAGAGGCCTCCCATGAGTCCTACGTCCACCCATGTGAAGATGTTACATAGGGTCTCGCCCTCGTTCAGGTCTGTGGAATCCGTTGTTTGCGTTGCGTTTGGGAAGAAGTCCTTTTCGCAGTCATTGACTGCTGTATTATGCTTTGACGCGGATATGATAATCCAGGTGAGAGCAACGGCGAACGCAGCGACAGTGAGCATGATATGAAGAGTTGTGTATCGGCGGAACATGACTGCCTTTTCCTGGAATGAGAAGCATCGTATAAGAACTGCATTTGATGGAGAATAATGTAACAGCGTGCCTTTAATACACCAATGAAGCCAAAGACTTGTACACCGCATGCAGCGAAGCATATAATCGCAAGTATTATCTTTGCGAATGACGGTACTGAGGCACCGACAACTATACAGGAAAGCCAATAACATTAGCACCCCAGAACTCGCGTGCCGAATAACTCACTTGAAGGAGTTGCAAGCGCAAGGATTGCGACTAGGAGACCGAGAACGAATTGCTCGGCAATCGCCACATAAATGCCAGCATTCATCACCGGGATGGCGCAACAGCAGTAGTCTCGCGGCTTCATGGCTTTCGTCGAATCTTGGCAGTCTTAGTGAAGAGTGCTTGTGGAGTCGCTAATGGAGTACTGTTACTGCCAGAAGTAGCCGGTTGAAAGACTGCGCCTCTCTAGAAGGTATCGTCCAACGAAAGAAAGGAGGTGGTTGGAGTGAAGAAAGAAGGATGGGTGGTGATGGACGAGTGAAGTGAGAATGAGCGCCAGCCTTGAGATGAGTGCGCAGTCGCAGTGCACACAGCCTACCTCATACCACGTGACTTTTACTCTCGCCACCGTGACTGTTATGTGATTTTGTGACAGAGTAACATGGGCGGAACCTGACGTATTTGTGCTCCTCGTAAGACGCGCTGTTCCTTGCATCCTCCCCTAGTAGACTATCGTCCACGACCTTCACTCTACGACTAGAGACGACATGAAGTTCTTGTCACTTTTACTTGCTACACTAGCGCCGCTGTGTGCAATGGGCGCTTCGGTTGTGTTGCAAGAGAATGGCGTACAACTGCAGGATGAGCCAGTGAAGATCCAGGAAGGCTGGGACTGGCAAGACTGTGGTGCGTGTTGCTGCCAATTAGGAAGCCCAGTTTTCTCTGAATATACATCTGTCACTGTTACAGGCGACTCCACTGACCCGATCCAGATCAAGTCTATTGAGGTGTCACCCGATCCTCCAAAGCCTGGTCAGGACATGACTGTGAAAGTAACAGCGTACGCCCAAGAGCGTATCGAGGTCGGCGACTGCAATATTTGTTAGGCAGGTTAATCAGGCTTTGACATGACTTTTTGTTACAGGAGGGAGCGTATGCAGATGTGCTGGTGAAGATCGGTGTCATCAAGCTATTGGAGAAACGTTTCGACTTGTGCGAGGAAGCGTGAGTTCTTATCACGATTCTATAATTGGGTGTGATCGCTTACAGTTCTTCAGACGGAATGCGCAGACGGATGTACAGTGCCCTGTTAATGAAGGAGACTATGTCGTAGAGCAGACAGTTGCATTACCAAAGGAGGTCCCGAGAGGTATGAAATTCTTGTTCCTGCGCAATAAATTGCAACTCACTTTGCTATAGCCAAGTTCCTAGTACAAGTCAGGGGATATACCAAGGACGACGACAACTTAGTCTGTACCGACATCACTGTCGACTTTAGGCCGAAGTTCCCGCATATCTGGTGATGGATTCGTGGTGCGAGTGATGAAGTTCATATACGCTTTGATGGTTTCATTTAGTCTGCCCACTCGGCCCCGATGAGTATACCAGCACATTGACACATGCCCTGTATATATTTCTTGCAATAATCTCATGACTGACCAGTACCTTTATTACAATAGTACTTATACGTGTCCGAGCATATTGTCAAGCTTTGACGCAGATCCGTCTGGCGGTAATCTATGGCATCGGGCTTGCCAAAAGAGCGGCAGTAAGCGAACTTAGCGTCGGATTGGACGGCTCGAATTGTTGGACGGAGAGCGCTTAACCATGTCCAAATGATACACCGACGATTGAGGCCCGCCAACCCGTGACATGTTTGAACGCTCTTCGGTGATGCTTCCAGGTTAATTTCAGTCTTCGCGAACCGCGTCCTCTGCATCCCGCGGGCCCCGACTGATGCAGAAGATGTTACGGGCATCGAGCACCACAGCTAAAAATGTTTATATGGAAAGAGCCAGCGCTCAAAATAGTTCGGGAGCAACGGAGAGGCTAGAAGACTGTTAGACGACGTAAGACACCACGAGTTGAGACTAGAGCCGAATACAGTTGAAAATATCTTATTGCATAACGTCGGGAGAGGCCTCAGACCTATGCAATATGAGCAATATGCATTATGGTAACCGTGTGAAAACATTATTTAATTAGGAACCCAACATTCGATATTACTTTTCAATTTATTTGAAGACATATACACTATGACAAGAAAATAAGCACATATTTAGAGCATCAAGAAAGACAACCAAGACAATGACAAGTACAGTAAACATGTATATTACTGTAAAACTCAAGGAATAGTTTGTAATACAAGGAAATACAGTCAGAATCTGTAGAAACAAAAAGATAGAAAAAGCTAGTCAATACAAATAACTTTCCCCCACATATCATGAAGAGATCTTTGCTGCCCTATCTTGGTCTTGTGGCAGCATCAAAGACATTGTAAGCAATGAAATGTCAATTGGAAACATTCTTTTTGTATTGAAGTACGTCAGAGAACAATATGTGAGGCTTCTGGGTACAAAAATCACAACAGTAAGCAGTCTAATTTCCCAAAATGCTCAGAATTTTGCATAATTTTCTCACAAATCTTGATGCAATATGCAATAGACTATTTTTGTGCATAATTCCCTTATCCCAAGCTGGGATTAGGCAGAAAGCTATGCAATATTCAATTTATGCATTATAATGTGATGCAATAAGGTATTTTCAACTGTAGCACTAAAGATCTCCAGTAGCACATTCATCAGTATCGTCTATTCAAAGTTAGAAGGTTCCGTGCGTATCGTGCCATTTCTGGGCTGATGGTCATTATTCAACAGAAGTATATAAATCTCTAGTCTCTTCTCCGTTTCTTGTACATCTATCGAACTCATCATCTTCTTGCCATGGCCCAGCTCGAAGGGATGCCCGTGACCTCTTCCCCCGATGCCTCTCCGTCTGTATCGATCTTCCCTCATCACATGAAGTCTACCTCGTCCACTTCGACCACCTCTTCTTTCCGGCGGAAACATCCTAAGGAGTTCAGCCTTGATACGGAGTACAAAGGACCAATTATCCCACCAAGCACGAAAGAGCGCTCGAAGCAACGTACACTTGTCCTCTGTTTTGATGGGACTGGCGATCAATTCGATAACGATAACTCGAATGTCGTGCAATTCTTCTCTCTCCTGGCAAAGGGTGATTCCAAGCAGCAGCTCGTGTACTACCAAGTAAGCATCACCTTATTCGCGTTCCAAGTGTCGATCATGATCATCACTACTAACATTTGATATATGATATACTATTTACTACTTTAGGCAGGTATCGGGACATATACGATCCCGCAAGTCGCTACGCCGATAGGATCAAAGTTTCGACAGACGTTGGACATGATGCTCGGAAGCAGGTAAGAAGAACTCCGCCTAATGATAATCTTTAGCCCGTTTAATTCTAAAAAAGAATCATTTTCTTTTTTTCGGAATAGTCTTCACCATCATGTCATGGGTGGATACGAGTTTCTCATGGAGCGATGTAAGTTTACTCGTCCAATTTAGCAATTCCCGTTTCTTTTCTTTTATTGACAAGGTTGGTTATTCTGAACTGTAGACAAGACGGGAGACCGAATCTGTATATTTGGCTTCTCGCGTGGCGCGTATACCGCGCGTGCGCTTGCAGGCATGATTGAGAAAGTTGGGTTATTACCTGCGGGTAATCACCAGCAGGTGCCGTTTGCATATAAAATGTATATGAAGGACGATGAGCTAGGTTTGTGATCACATAGTTCGATATGTGTGTTTATGTGATCTAATTCATCTTTTAATTTTCCTTGGTTAGGATGGCAGCAGAGCGTCTTATTCGTAAGTAGACATATCCTATGCCACATTGAATTGTCTCGAACTTCGGCTCTAGAAAAAGTCCTTCTCGATGGACGTAGACATCGAATTCGTCGGCGTATGGTTAGTTTTCTTAAGTACAAACGTCATTGTTATTTCGTCTTACACTAATCTTTCCAATAGGGACACCGTTGCATCCGTCGGTATCCTTCCAAAACACATCCCATTCACCAAGAACAACACATGCGTCAAGACTTTTAGACATGCTCTCTCCCTCGACGAGCACCGCGCAAAGTTCAAAGCTAACCTATACGACTTTGGCGCGAACGTTGAGTCCGAAACAGGTGACCTGACTTACGTCCCACTCTCCCAGCGCAAGAAGAACTTGCAGAAGAAGTATGCGCATCGACATGACCATGACCATGACCACGACCACGACCATGATGATGATGACGTTGCAGACATGGAGGTTGAGGTGGACTTGGATTTGAAGAAAAAGAAAAAGAAGTTGGAGGAGGATAAGTTTAATAAGAGCTCAAAGTTAGAGGAGAAGTATACGGATAAGACGAAGAAGACGGATGTATTGGAGGTTTGGTTCGCTGGTTGTCATACAGGTAAGATATTCGAAGAGCTCCTTTTTTTCACGCATTCGATGCTAATTGTGCCTCCAGACGTCGGCGGTGGCTCCGTGGCAAATGATACACGATACAGTCTCGCAAGGATCCCACTCCGTTGGATGGTCAGAGAATGTTTCCTCACAAACAGCGGGATACAATTCGCAGCTGGAAGACTACACGAAGTCGGTCTGGATCCGCATACTCTTTACCCCTTCGTCAGACCCCGGCCGGCCCCACTACCCGTAGAAGGAATATCATTCGAAGAGAAGGAACAGGTAGTGAAAGGAAGAAAATCGAAATTGACAACGAAAAAGACACATGACGCAGGTCATTTGTGTAAAAATTGTCCATCGCTATTTTCGGATGGGACTGTTGTAGCGGAGCCAGAAGATGGACAGAGCGAGGGTGGGACGTTCAGGTCCGAATCTCCAGTGGCGAAAGAGAAGGCAAAGCAAAATGTGGTTACCCAGGAGGAAGAGGATGAGGAAGGGTCAGGAGAATTTGTAGATGAGGAACACGAAGAACTACATGACGCGCTGTCACCTGCATTCGATCAACTCGCACTTGCGTGGTACTGGTGGATTCTTGAATGGTTTCCTCTCGTTCATCGACATGAGAGAATCGACGCGTCGAGTGTCAAAGTCATCTCGTACGTCCTCTACTTTCTCTTCTCGTCAACACATGCTAACATGATTGGTTAACCTTTACCTTGAAGGGTTAACAAAGGCCGTCCACGCGTCGTCGCCCACCAGCACCTAACAGGAATCAAAGTCCACCGCTCCGTGAAAATGCGAATGGAAGCAGAGGCTCAGGTATTATTGCTCAAGTCGCAATACAAGCCGCGAGTGAAATTCGATTGTGAACCGACTTGGGTCGACTGAAATCATTAATATCTGCATATCATGCTTACTTTTCTGTTGTTTTTGCCATGTATTTTAAAACCTTGCTGTATTATTTTTTTTGTGCAGGATTCATTTATCACTCGACCGGTACTCGTTTGTCTATGATAATATTCCGATTAATCAAAATAGTATGACTCTTTGTCTTCTTCCACAGTATTATGCAGTAGTGTACGATTATAGTAGAGCCTTATTGTGTGACTCTCCGAGTGGCCTCATGCAATGCATTGTACAATTAATTACTTTGCCTGAGATTCTGAATTAGGTCCAAGTAAAAGTCTATCTACGCAACATGGGAAATCATTATGATGTAAAGAATGAGATTGAATGTAGTATTGGAATTCCAAGCCAGATTGAGATTCCATTACTGTGGTGATGCGTTGTTCCCCCAGCAAGTAAACTAACGCATGTAGTCCAGCTTCCATGTTTTGCGTACGGTTATTCATTCGAGTATACCCAAGTCGGTAACACACTACTTTTCGTCGTGTCTGCACATTCTCGGCCTAGCGAACTTGCGAACATGACTATTACGACAATGCTTATGAACTTAGCTGCACGGCCGTAGCAGGGCGTAGATATGGTAGATACAGAATGCGGCCGTGGACATGGCTCTGAGAGTCTGTACTATAGCAGAACGCGTCCAAAATGCATCCGCATGAAGGAGACTCGCCTCGGACCGTACGTGGCGAATAAGACTCGCAGAATTACCTGACTTAGAGATATTCAAGAACAAATAAACCTCGAATTAAATGCCAAGTGTCGCAATAGACGCCCTAACCCCGATTTATCGACATGGATATAAAAGGCTCTTTAGCCGCGCATGTCCGATCCTACCTCATCTCTTCACCAACTCTCTTCCCCAACAAACAATCACCATCTCCCATCGGACCTTCATCTCGTCAGTTCCTGCATACAATGTCCATCCAAAAAATTCACGCTCGTCAGGTACGTGTTCACATCTTTCTCCGAGGACATCCTCGCTCGCGCATATAGTGACCCATCCGATGGTTGATGTTGCATAGATCTTCGACTCGCGTGGTAACCCAACCGTTGAGGTTGACCTTTTCACCGCGAAAGGTGCGTGGCGAAGTCAATATATGCGTCACGGAAGCTTATTTGCGACACTGTAGGTTTGTTCAGGGCATCTGTTCCCTCTGGCGCGTCAACGGGTGCGCATGAGGCCGTTGAGCTGCGTGATGGCGACAAGGCCAACTACGTCGGGAAGGGTTTGTCTTGGACTCTTCACCTTCCGCAGCGCGTATTTCTGACTGTCGACTGCGCATTATTAAGGTGTTTCAAAGGCGATCGCAAACGTGAACGATATCATCGCACCCGCACTGATCAAGGAGGGTTTGAACGTGACGCAGCAACAGGAAATTGACAACTTCCTCATCAAGCTCGATGGCACTCCGAACAAGGGCAAGCTCGGTGCGAATGCGATCCTCGGAGTCTCCACCGCCGTAGCATACGCTGCAGCCGCGGAGAAGGGTGTTCAATTGTACGAACACCTTGCAGAGCTCGCAGGAGTTAAACCACCATTTGTGCTTCCAACCCCAGCGTTTAACGTTATCAATGGTGGATCGCATGCAGGGAACAAGCTTGCGTTCCAAGAGTTTATGCTGCTTCCTACCGGCGCTACTTCCTTCGCCGAGGCGATGAAGATTGGTACAGAGACATACCACACGCTTAAGAAAGTTATCAGCGCTAAGTACGGTATCGATGGTTCGTATATTGCAGTATTCTTCTCTTCTCGAAGCTCAATCTCAGATAATACATATTCGATATAGCCGTGAATGTCGGAGACGAGGGTGGATTCGCTCCCAACGTGGGTGGTGCTGAGGAGTCCCTTGAGCTTCTCGTGGACGCTATCAAGAAGGCTGGTTATGAGGGCAAGATTAAGATCGCCCTCGATGTTGCCTCGTCCGAGTTCTACAAAGAGGGCAAGTACGACCTCGACTTCAAGAACCCTAACTCGGATCCTACGAAGTGGATCTCCGGAACGGAGCTCGCTGATTTGTACATCGGATACGTGAAGAAGTACCCGATCGTATCGATTGAGGACCCATTTGACCAAGACGACTGGGATGCGTGGTCCCACTTCACCAAGAATGCTGCCATTCAGATCGTAGGTGACGACTTGACGGTAACCAACCCACTCCGTATCAAGACGGCTATTGAGAAGAAGGCCTGTAATGGTCTTCTCCTTAAGGTGACTTCACTGTTGTAATTTTCTTTCCGAGGTGATATTCACGAACACGCATACTCTTTTCCTCAACGCATAGATCAACCAAATCGGTACCATTTCAGAGTCCATCCAAGCGTAAGTTACACCAGTATGCATTGCTGAGTTATCCTCCTAACGCATCGCAATATAGTGCTCAGCTCGCTCAGTCCGATGGTTGGGGAGTGATGGTCTCGCACCGCAGCGGTGAGACCGAGAACACCGTCATTGCTGACCTCGTCGTCGCACTTGGCGTTGGCCAAATCAAGACCGGCGCACCCGCCCGTTCTGAACGTGTGGCGAAGTACAACCAGTTGCTCCGCATCGAGTGCGTACCGTCTCAGTTGTCTTCATTTTCATATTTTAGTATGCTTTCTTGTTCGCTCATGTCTAACTAAATGAATTTTCTTTCCAACTATAGGGAGCAGCTTGCCGACAACTCGTCGTACGCGGCTGAGAGGGGCTTCTCCGCTGGCCTTACCCCTCCTGCCCTACTCAAGAAGTAAAAGGCACGAGCACTGGGCTTGTACAAAAGGATCTGTCCTGGACTCATCTCTTTTTGGTATTGATCTGTGAAAAACGGCGTAGGTAAAGTGCAGAAATTTATAGACTGGTGCTTAAAAATACAGCTATGTACCAATTCTCTTGTACAAAAAATGCAATGTGTAACTTGTGTGCATTACGACTTAGGAGAAATGCCTTCGCCATTGTCACGGTAGTGGATAGTATTGAGTCGACACTACACAAATCTAGTAGCCTTATCTAATCTGACATTCTTGCCCTCATTCATGTGTCCCAATTCAGACTAGCTCAGCAAACATGAAGGGAATTAGGGACTCAGATAGGTCAAGACAAGTAATAGTGTATTAGTATTGTACAATACAGTTACTTCTGTATAGTACTAATACATTAAGTAGTACACTAGTGTGAATAATCTTAGTAGCTAGTAGCTTCAGCTCCCCTCCTCTCTCAAGACTTTGTATACAGTCTCCATTTCACTCAATATCTTGGGACCATTAGTTTATTACATTGCTCTCTTCTGTTTTCTACTCTTGTCTATAACAGCTTTAACTGTCCAGCCTACTACAATGTTTATTACAGCTGGTAAGTCTAACATACTAGAAGGACAGAAGATAAAGTCAAACATAGAGAACTGTTAGTCTCTAACAAGTCCTTAGTCCACACTGTTTATTAGTTAGTTACAACTCAATACAAAAGACTGTTGTGTATACAAAGTAGTCTAACATTGTATTAAGTACTCTAAGGACTGTTACAAGGTACACAAACAGAAAGGGAAAAGCTTCAGATTGTTTTTAAGTATTATGTATTCACACATCTCAGAAGGTATAGCTGCTAGGGAAGACAGGTCAGACATTGATCATGAGCTAAGAGAGAAGAGAGGCAGGGAGCATACAAGCAAGTAAAAGTACGCCTTGAAGACCTTATCCGCGTTGCCGAAGTCTGTAAAGAGAAATGTACGAGTCAGAGTGCACTCCCTGATTCTCCGTCTTACTCATCAAGGGTGCTTGACTTCATTTGACAAATTTATGCAGCGGGAGACTTCGAACTTGTTCCTCATGTACGTGCGGTCCATCGCACTTGATGAGTCGGACTTCGCTGGGACGGCGAGACGCACCAATGGTCAAGCCTCCCGAGCTTGATGACTGGGAACACGTTGAGTCTTATTCTAGTACCAGCTCCGGAGATGAAGGCGAACTACGCAAGGGTCCTTCGTACGCAGAAGTTGCATCAGGCGCGAAACATTCTTTGTTCTGCTCTGGATCGTGACGAACCAGATCGGCAGCTCCGACGGACATCCTCTCTTCCGCAAGCTGTATAGTCTATGAACGTGTCTATCTTTCTTCTCTTTCTTCCGCGTCATACGTGAGCCCGGATCAGGTATTGAGTACCGTTCCACAACATAAGGTCCTTACGAGTAGAACAAAGTGGATACAATGATGTGCTCGCAAAAGTGACTCAAACACGTGTTACTAGTAAACCTACGCCAGTGACCTTCTACGATGTTCCCCAACACCATGTTCCTGGGACGGTGCAGCTTGCCATCCTGAGGCGCCGCATCTGCTGGATAACAACGGCGGCAAATAGAAGCCAAGGGCATCTCTTTGTACATGTCTATTTGGGGTCCAATGATGGTCATCACATTGGCTTCGACGGCAGCTGTGTAGGTAGGACACCGAAACGCTTTTTAATTGTCACCCGATGTCGAGAAAACTTGTCGTCCGGCGAAAATCGTGCTGTACAGCCGTGTCACACGGGAGATGATCAGAGCGATGGAACAGACGGAGTCGCCATGAGTCAATCAGATGTCATTTCCGCCTGCTTTGGATGCACGTACCAGGGTGTGCAGACTTAGTAACTTTGCCGTCGTCTGTTATTTTCTTTCCGGACACAATAATTCGAAGTCAGAGAAAGATGACGATGCGCCGCAAAAGCGTGATGCATACCTTGAGCGTGTAGACTCTGTTTCCGGTATCATCAAGCGTGTACATTAGATGCATGGCGGACAAAGACGCGTAAGATACAAGCGAGCATATGGCTTGACACTCAGTTTTCTTTTGAAGTCGGCACGTGATGCGGTGTAGTTTCGGACTCCGAATTTGACACTGCGAGATACAAAAAAATGAATAAGGGAATAAATACTTTAGTTAGGATGGAAAGTCAACTCTCTGGTATGAATGTACTGTACATGCTACGCAATCGTATACTGCTCAATATACAAGCAAAGGACAACACGCGCAAGTTTCGAAAATAAATTGATAGTACATGCTACTGTAATATCATTAGATCACAGCAAATAATCATCGCGGTACTTTTCGTCCAATAGTGCGAGAGCCACATTCCTAATTCTGTGAGCCACACGTTGTATTACACGTTAGTGCAGGTTTTTCCTTCTCTTTTCTCGGATTCACTCATTGAGGAGACTTTGTTCTGTGGACCTTCTCGTGTCTCCCCAGTGCATCTGGACGTCCAAACGCTTTTGTGCAGAGAGTGCACTGATATGGCCTTTCACTAGTATGTACCATCCTATTGTTCCCTACAGATAACATGTTATCATGAGATTGAACTGGACAATTTGGCCTTACTATCCCTGTCCCGTTTCCTATCAGTTGCATATCTGCAAAACATACTCTTATACTTTCCTGTAGAGGCTGGATATCTCTGATGTTGTGTACCTTATAAATCCACTTAAATGAGGAACTAAGGCATAACAAGATTGAGAACTTTACACTCACTCAACTTTCTACAGCAAGGTTGTTGGCTGCTGGCATTCTCACTAGAATCCAAGCTGGACTTGATAGCATACCAATCAGTGTGTATCTATTAGTGATACACAAGGTCGGGTCAGGTCGGGTCAGGAGGGTTTTTAGTCTGACCCATGACCTGACCCAGGTCAGAATTTTCCAAAAATCCTGACCTGTGACCTGACCCAGTCTGACCCAGCTGGGTCAGGTCAAAGTGGGTCAGGTCAGGTCAGGTCAAGGGTCAACCTGGGTCAATGTATACTTATACTAGTCTCTTACTACAGATTTTCTTATGCAGCCCTTGTTGTAGACAGAGACTATTACTATCTGAGTTAATAGGTTTGTTAATAAGCTCAGTTATTATAGGATAAAACTCTGTCTGTTAAAGTAATCCAAATTTACACTTGAAACACTTACAGTTAATCATTAAGGTGTAGTTATGGAATGTATACTTGAGTAGTCAACAATTGTTATGCCTGCATTACAAACTGTGTTTGATACAGATGAAGGAGGAAAGTAGCCATGCTTTGTTTGAGCTGAAGATAAGAACAGATTATACATACTACATAGTGTGTAATATCAATCTTAAGTCTGTCCAGACAGACAAACCTTGTACATTTTCCAAACAATTGGATACATACTACTCCTGGGTAGAGTGGCTGAGAAGCTAAGACTACTCGTCCGTGTCCCAGTCGCATCGGGAAAAAGTCTAAAAGGTTATATTACATTATAATGGTGTGAAAAAAGTAAAAAAAGTAAAAAAAGTAATTTACATATTATCGGACCTCGATTTCTGATAAAGTAGTATAACTTTGTATAAGGTACTGTAAGGTTTATTAATGTAATAAAAGTACATAAGGGTAATACCCCTTTTAAACATATAAAATGCATAATATCGGACCTCCCTTTTTTGAAATGTATTGTAAGGATTACCAAGTTTTGAAAGGGTAATACATGTTTGTAATGTTTTACAGAGACTATACATAGTTATTATTTCTTAATAATAATAATTTCCCCTTACATCCATTCATTATTAAAATAACAAAAATCAATTATATTAAAATATTTGTACGATACATCATTATCTACAATAATTAAGGAAAATAAACCGAAACACATACATAGTGCAGCCTGCATCAAGATTTGTGCAGAGAGTGAGTGAGGTCGTCATTAGGTAGAGGTTGGGATCGGACCAGACTCGAGCGGCGAACGAGTGCATTACAGGTGTCGATTGCCAGGCCCATCCCTTGACCAGATCCAGACGGTCCACCAGAAAGCGAGGGCATTGAGAGGCTCAACAGTTATGACTGCGTCTGCGGTTGAACCCGTCCTTGCAAGCACTCCGCATCACCCATTTCAAAATCACCAAAGTCTGCCATCTCCACTTCGCGCACGCTACTGCACCTCGTGTGCGGATATCCGAACGGGCAGCCATACAGT